CAGATGCACCCAGGGTCTGTTTGATCTTGCCCTTAGGCCACCACTAAAACTTAACCACATTAAGTATTACCAGGTTAATTTAACATCATTCCAAATTGAATCATGTGTTTTTAAACAATATTCAAGCTAAAGTTAATTAGCTGAAATGCAAACAACCTATCAGTGCTAAAATGCAATTTTGACTAATAGCTAACTCATCAGCAGTGATGGCGTTGAATTCCAGTCGGTCTCATCTTTATTTAGGCTATTTCAATTTTTTACAAGTCTCTATATATCTTTTTCGGTCTTTAATCCATGTCTACGTGGGTGCAAAAGGTTGCATTGCGCCCTCATTTTACATTTGTGCACACTCACTTGAATAAATGCAAAAAATAACGATTGTTTTTTTTAATATGTAATCATGACTTTAAAATGACAATAGTGATTCAGATCGTGTTTATCACATCCATGATGACTGGTTCACGAGACTGTCTGACCACATGAGGGACCTGTAACACCCATGCTATTTTTCATTGTTGTTGCAGGTCACTAGAGCTGCACCCCCTTTAATCTCAGATGCACCTTAGTCATTTTGTTCAAGAACCGAGCAAGCTCTTATGGGTGGCTAGGTTAGTTTTTCGGCAGAAAGATCTACTACTTTCGTGTCCTGCTCACTCACCCGTTTGTCTGATTAAAGAAAAAACAATACATCCTCACAATAGTGCTCTTACCAGGTTACGCCAGCAGATGGTGCTACACGCAACGGCATAAAGTTTCACCAAAAGTTTGGAGTGAGTTCTGGGGAAATGGCGACAAAATGCATCCGTTTGAATCCAGATTTAGATCAATATCTCATTAACATCAGAATTATTTAATCTTAACTACGGAGCCCATAGTGCAAATGGCGAATGGATGTCCCTAGTGTAGGGGGGCATTAGTGCATGGGCGGACAGTCCATAGTGCAGAGTGAGGCAGTCCAAAAGTACATAGTACCATAATAATGGTGACAGACTGTCTGTCCAGTCCATACTGTACAAGAAATGCAGCACATACTGTAGGTAACAGGGGAAAAAAGAAAGAAAAAAAAGATGAAAACGATAAGCCATATTTAAGTGTCGTATGGCTTGGAGGTAGGTGCTATCTCTGAAGCGTGATGTTCTGCTGGTGAAGCTTCTGAACCTCTTCCCTGATGGCAAGAGTGAACAGGTGATGTGCTGGCTGGGAGGAGTCAGTGGTGATGTTTCTAGCTTTCCTTCTGGTGTCATAGTTTGAGGCTATGGTAGGCAGACTGCAGCCAATGATCTTGGAGGCTCTGGGCACTACTTTCTCTAGCTGTTGTTTATCCTGGCTGGTCGTGTTACCATACTAGGACAGGATAGAGAAGGTCAGCACGCTTTCTATGACTGCTCGATAGAAATGAGTCATACCTTTCTGGCTAACCCAAATTTCCTCAGCTGACTGAGAAAGTAGAGTCTCTGTTGGGCTTTGCATACAAAGCCCAACACAGCTGTTGGACATAAAGGTGGTTGTAATGCAAAAGAGCAGGAAGATCCTGATGTTCAGGTCCCATGAGAGGGACTGCTTCAAAATAAAAGCACCTCAAATAGATGGCAATAAGGGACATTGATTGTAAAGCACTTTCCATAATTGACTGTATTAATCACTCTGAGCATTAGCGGAGCTGCACTGAGCGGTAATTCTCGATAACACTGTCAGGAGAAACAGCATTCACAGCTGCTCCTCTGCCCATAAGTCAGAGCCACAGCCCCGTTCTTTTCATTATCTTGAATCTTATATGTATGTCGGCATCATTCCATAATTTAACCCCAACAACTGAAACACATCTGCTTTTAATAACTTTTTTGCATTTTGTACAACAAACTTACAAACACCTCTTAAATCATATTTGCTCTCTCGAATTGTGAAGAACCTTTGTGAAACCTTTGTCAAATAAAAGCCAGGAAGTTTCCCAAAAAGCCAAAAATGTCATCTTTACAATTATGCAAAAAATAAATGTAGATGATCCCCAAAGTCAGTACTTATACTCTGGGAATAATGCATGTCACAACTCGACAACACTTGATGCAAGTTTGATGTAGTACAATAGACAAGAAATCCTTGGAATATGCTGCAAGCATTGCAATTGGTACGATCAAGTACAACACTACATTTTACACACTCTGACATAATATGTGAATCAGACCCTAAGGCAGCAGCAGATTCTATTACACACAGATTTTATGTAACCAAAGGTCAAGTATACCAATGTGTGTTCCTCTCTCTGTTAGGTCCTGAAGGTGGGCTGTTCCAGAATTCGGTGGAGGTACCCCAGCTGAAATCAGAACCTTTGAAAGACCTGAGGTTAGTATTTCAACTGTCTTATGAGGGTGTCTTATTGCTTTTCTTCCTATCTTTAATTGTTTTCTTTCACAAGCCTCCAGGTGTTGAGAACTAGCATATATGCTAAAACACTTAAACAATGCATCTGGTTTGTCCAATGTAAATATGATGTCCATGCCATATAAAGTCTATCTATATTTATTTTCCCATCTTAAACTTTACCCTACTTCTTATTTCTCAGATTTGTTTAAGAGTTTAAGATTAGAATTGTTGGTAAAAATTTGACAGTATAGACTCCATAATGGTTGAAAGCAGTTTTTGTGTAATAATGAGCTGATTTGCTTTAGGTTGGAGTCTCCTACTCGCTCTCTCAGTATGGCTGCACCAAAAGGAGTTCATATCAAAGCACTGGCTGGCAACATAGAAGTTGCTTCTAACATGGATGTGTTTCTGCAGTCAAGTGAAGGACTGGTAAGAAAACCGCTCACAACTTTAAGAAGTCTGAACTTCTTCATGATTTTTTCCCTTTTGATTACCAAGGGAATGCATAAAGCTGCTTTTTAGCAACATGCTACTTTATACTTCTGTCTGTTACATCCGGGAAATTCAGGAGCTTCCATATATTAATGTTTTTTTTTTCCAAAATTAGCTCTCAGATTTCATTGCATGGGCTCATTACTACTTTAGTTCTCCAATTCTGCTTTATACTGTTGTAATTATGTATATATGTTCATTGTCCAGGTAAAAAAACTTCTGAGTTTTTGGCGGGAAATGTTACTGTTTCAAAAGAGTTAAGTGGTTGATTCTGATAAAATATTTTTTTTAATCAGTTATTCTGTTTTTATGAAATGGTAGATACAGGGTAAAAGTCACCGGCAATTTGCTGTTATCGTTATAAAATAAAAACTCTGTGTTAATTCTACGCAGATTATTTTAATGATCATATTCTGATCTGATTTTATTCGTATTCTTCCAAAGAAATGTTGGTTCATATATCACGTTCTATTCAATATGTCTTCTTCACAGGGCACTACGTTAGGCAATGTGGGACATCTTTGTTTATCTCCTGCCACACTGTTTACCATGAAGTGTATAGGGATATATTTCTGGTTGAATTGTATTTCCTCTCCACACTGTGTTATGCAGCTGGTGCTGGATGCTGAAACTGTGCGCTTGCCAAGTCTGCCCCTGAGCGAAGGAGGGGTTTCTGGAAATACACAGGGTCTCTACGAGGTCTGTGTCTGTCCGAGTGGTAAGCTCTTCCTTTCAAAAGCTGGGGTCACTTCCACCTGCAGCGAGAATCAGCAGTGCTAGGACATGACAATCTCTCTTGCTCCATCATCTGAAAGGAAACATGCACAACTGTATACCGTCATACATGAGTATTTTTTTTAATACAACAGACAATCTGTGATGGTCTCAGTGTTTAACTCCAACTGATCCCTTAAAAAAAGGCAGCTGGTATACATTTTTAGAGATGTTTAGTCACATGCAAGACCCAATTTGCAATCTCTGCCAAATTCATCTCAAAGCTTTATGGAGAATTATTTTTCCACAAATAGTATCATATATGGGCAATGATGAGCTCTTAAGAGTTTACATAATGCAGTTTTACCCTCCGGTGCTGTATATAATCTGACACATATCAAGGGCTTGTAAGAATAATGTAGTAAAAGATAACCCTTGAATATTCAAGAGTTATTTTGGTATAGTTTTGTTTAACATATTTGTTATTAGAATTATTAGGGGTAAAAATGAGAGAAAATCTTACAAATATTCTTTGTAGTGTCAAAGTTTATTCAGGGTTAAAAGATTCAATTTATTTAGACAAAACACTAGACTTATTTGTTGTTTTGTTAATTTGTTTTTTGGGACAAAGATACTATTTCCTCATGTTACTATTGTGATATCATGTGTGTGACTGTTTTTTCAGTTTGTAAGATTATTAAGTTTGCACTGCATAAGCATGTAATGATGTATAAATAACAAGACAGACGCTTTTTCTTGCAAGTAATCTTGAAAGGCCGGTGTTTGCTTAGTATCTTTATTGATGGCCAAGAGTCTATGTGCATTTAACACAATATGCATGACAAGTAACTTATATTAGCCTCTTTTTAAAATCGATGTTCACAGTTGACCTGTATTACAAAGGGTTATGTGTTGGTTCTACCGACTTTGTGTTAAGCACAATTTTCTGGCCTTTCTGTATGTAAGTTAGGCATAATAACCATCTCATGATGCTGTACTGTCATTTTCAATATGCCAAACAATAGTACATAACTACATATTAATCAATAAATTTGTTGAATAAACTATGCATTGTTCTTCTCTGTGTCTAGGTATTTATTTACATATAATTTCACTTTTTTTTGCCAGTGTATTTATTTGATAGGACTGAAGAGTGACAGTTAAAATAGGGCAGAGATTGTTGAAATGAACAGAATAATCCAGGGTTTAAATTGAAGCCTGATCCCATGTGGTGAGGATATAAGTGTCCCTGTACCAAAATGAACCTTATCCCTTAAATAAAACATTAGAGCCACTGCTGTCAATTACAATAATACACATTTTTAATTCAATATACTTTTTCTTAAGTTCTTTCTGAAAGTATTTTTTTCATTGCAAACTTAAGACACTTGAAATAAGATATTTAAAGACTCATGCAAAATAACAACCAAAAAGTAACTTAAATTTTTATTACACTCTGTTAAAACCTTTATAAAGAGACATTTTTAAACAATAAAAACACACAATTTATTTTAGGGGAATTTATTAGGCCTTACAATGGCACAGTGTAAATCAACATGTTTGATATACAAGATTCTGTGTTGTCCTGGTTGGTGTAATAAACATGAAACAAAAAACAAAAAAAAGAAGTTGCTTGCCAAACGTAACGAGTTCCAGCCCTTTTTATGCCACTAACTGCAACTGGCAGGTTTCAAACCTCAACATGAAAAATGAAAAATGTCACTTTCAGCTGGTTTAAATTTGTTTAAAAAAAGAGTGAGAACCATCAGTCATTTCATCATCACAAATCCTGCAGCATTTCAGTGTTTGCTGACGTAATGATCCCCCATTTATCCACCCGTCCACAGATTTGAATGAAACTCAGGAAAAAAGAATGTTGTTGCCAAAAATCCATCATGGCTGACTTCGAGAGTCCAAGAGGCTTTTTTGTAAAGCAAAATTAGCTGGACTTGTGTCAATATGACTTACAGTGTGAGGGGCATGGTCTTTCATGTTATTTTGTTTCCTTAACTACAGCGCCATTATCTGGCCAATTATTTTCCTATTTCTTGGGAAGCTGATGCTATTGTTTTAATGTTTTCATTTTTTCATTTTCATCTCACAGGAATTTGAGCCAGGGCATAGGACAAATAATAATAAATCGTCACAAAAATATAAGCCTAAAGCCTAAAGCCTAAATAATGCAGCAACAATGCCTTTAAGAACAAGGCAAGTGTGCTGTGACTGAGATAGCTTCAAGTCACACATGGGGGTCCATCAATCTGTAGTTAGTGCAACAGAAGGTGCAGGGAACCCCTCGTGGTCAATCACCACTCGTGTATGCCAGTAAATGGCAAGGACCACAGATTTTTTTGTGTGCACACAAGATGGGACATACTAACGAGGTTTGGGTAAATTCACATATTGGCAGACATGTTTTATTTTGCTTTACTCCTGTGTTAGGTGCCCATGGGTAATGCTGTCTTAATATTCATCTGTATATTCAACATGTGTCCAATGACATATGGCAATGGGAATCTGAGGTTTCCCCACACAATTGATTTGCAGAAAACAAGCAGGTCTTCTAGCTATGCTGTGTTCTTTTGATATATTACTTTTCTTCCCCTTTGGTTTTATCGCATCTGCTTCTTCTTCTGCGGTTGTTGTTAAATAGCGGTTAGAAAACAATTACAAGCATTATTGCCACCTGGATGTGGATACTGCCATGTGTTATAGCCCTTCATCTCAATTCAGACGCATTTGTTGTATGCCTGCATGCACAGAACCATGACAACCTGAATACATGTACCGTTACACCCCTAATGATTTCTGTAGGAATCAAATGTGTTCACATGACTCTATAATGCTATAATGCAGCAGTTACAATATAAAATAAATCCTGAGGAAAAAAAATGTTTTGAAAGTAAAAAAAAAAAACATTTCAATCACTAAAAGATTGGCCCAAGTTGCTGGTGTGACTGAAGCACTTAAAAAAGGCTGTATGGCACTTCATGAAGAAGTGATTGACTTCACGTTACAGAAAATGTACAGTCTTTGCAGAAATGAAATAACCCCTTAAAAAAAGAGACAAAAGTTTTTATTTTAAAAAATGACAGCTGTTGAAGTATTTGACATTAAACATTGATTAGACGTTGTTTTAACTGGGTCTGTGTGTTTGTGTGGCAAAACATTTAGCTAATATAAAATCAGTGTTTGAACTTTGACAAACAAAATATATATATATATATATATATATATATATATATATATATATAGTGAGCCATACATTAATAAATTAACATTGGCCACAAAATCACCATTACTGGTAGAAACTGCATATATGCCATATGCAGCCAGCTAAAAAAAATAATTTTTTGTCGTATCGCACACAGCAAGGAATATCCTCTATTATCATCTGTTACACAGAGGATTTATTCATACTGTAGATTCAAGACATTATTATATTTTTTGCTGCACAAATGTTTCAAGCTTTATGATAATCCGTGCGGTACATTCCATCACTCTCATTGCCACCTCAGATGTGTATCTGTCATTGGGAATCTGTGGAAATGGCAAGAGATCTGGATAGCGAGTTCTTAGGCTGTCCACACCATATCCTTCCAGGATTTGAACATCTTTGGCAAGGCCTTTTAACTGGGAGTTATACTCTTCAACTTTTTGAGCCAGGGCAGTTGGTTTCACATCTTTATCTGACTTTCCTCTGACTGCATAGTCAGCAGCTATCAGGGCAAGCTTTGTTGCCAGGTAGCATTTAAAACAAACCCACTCATTGGCATTTTTATGAAGATCATTCCGAGCAGCAGAGTAGTTGGCTCTTGCTTGTCTAAGCCACCTCCGGGCTTCCACAGGGTTACCAACTGTCCTGAAAGTAGGAGGCACAAAGAAACGGTGAGAGTGCGAGGAACCTGCATAGCCTGTATAATGTTCCCTAAACTGCTGTCTTTCAGACTTGTGGTTCGTTGCTTCCTGGTTCCATGATGAATAAAACCTTTGAAATGAAAACTTCTCTGACTGGAAGCGTGATGATGGTGTTGAGTAGGATCTCCTTGAAGCCCTGTCTGTAGTTTGCTGATCAGCCACAGATTGTTTCTCCATCCTATTGATCTCAATCTGTAAGTGCTTGAAGACTTCAGTGGCAATGTCCAGATTTTCTGCATTTTTGTCTGGATGCCACTTGAGATACAATCGTCGGATTATTTTCTTTCTCTCCAACTCAGGAAGTTTCCAAGCTTGTTCAACCACTAAGGTCACTTCCTTCAAAATCTCAGGCACTGCAAGAAGCTTGATCTTTCTTGGTGACTGTTTTTGAGGGGGAGGTCTCAGATTTTCCTTACCAGTAAAAGGGGGAGGGGTCATTTGTAGACTTGAGGAACAACTGTTTGGACTTGAAGGAGTTGATGGGGCACTGGAGTCACGGACTTGGCTACCGTCATCTTGTCGGGAGAATTTGTACAAGTCAAGGGAACTGACTATTTTGTACTCACTGTAACCTATGTCAATCTGGAAGCATTTTCCGAGGAAACTTGTGCTTTCCTCCTCTTCTCTATCTACTTCTTGAACAATGATGGCATATGTATATGTAGGCTGGTAGGACCCATACATTTCTCCACCCTCAGAGTCCACAAGGTAACCTACATATTCTCCTGGATAAAATACATTCATAGGATCCATGAGGAGTGTGTGATGTATCTCAGCTGGTATTGGGGTTCCAGGGAGGGGAAGCTCAAGTTTTGAAGGCTCTGTTGAGTCGTACTTTACCCCAAGATTGTCCAACTTCTCAGAGATTCTGTAAATGTCATTACAGCCAAGCATGGCAATCAGATAGGATGTATCAGATATCAAATTGTCTGTGGCAGATTTCAGTGTCATTGCCAGCGCTAAAAGAAAATTAATGTCTTTGCTGTCTGAATGCTGAATGTAAAGGTGAATCACAGCTGTCCCATATCTCTTCAAGAAAGCAAGCGTTTCACTGCGGCTGTGTGGGATTGGACTAAATCCTTTCACTCTTAAAGTTGTTTGGAGTTTTTCAAAACAAGATACTTTTAAACCTTCACAGAGTGCTTTACAGAGACGTATGGCTTTTTCCTCGTTCACAAGGTATGCATTGTCATTCTCATGTTTCATTATTCTGATCAGTCCTGTGATAAACTGCTCTGATGACAGCAACAGCTGAAGGCGTCCTTGAAGTGAACAAAGAGCTCCAAACTGGCACATTTTCGGAGAATCCTCATCAAGTTGCTCTTCAAGAATGCTACTTAACAGTCTTGGCCTAAGTTTTTGTGGAAGTAGCATGATTAGCTTTGTGTGAAAGGAGTGATCTTTGCCAAGATAGCACTGGCTCATATCCACAAGCATCTGAACTCCAATGTTACCATGAATTCTACTCTTGTAGTGTGGGGCATCATCAAATACCAAGCTACTAGATTTTGCTAACCTACCATCATGACTTGGCATATAAAATGTTAAATCTCTTACATTTTCGAGATCTTTGCGAATCTCCACTGGATCATTATGGAGAGACTTAAACAACCCTGAAACAACTCTTTTTACTGTTCTCATTTCATTTGGGTCCAGCTGCTTGCCCTCTGAACTTCTGTAAATTCTCCAGAGTACTTCGACATATTGTTTAGTTGACACAACATCTTCTGTACCAAGAAGTTTGAACAGCTGATGAAAAGTACCAAGTTCTAGAGGTAATTTATACAGGTAGGGTTTGAAGTCAGATTCATTGTCTAAATTAATGACAACCTCCTCAGGTTTTAGCAGTTTCCAGCCATCTTCCACCATGACAAAAGACACCCCATGGAGCTGGTAACGGAAATCTCTTTTATCTGCACTGAGAAACTCGTAGGTGGACCTTAAAACTTTGTTTCTGGTTTTCACCATTTCATCATCTGGACTTGATATGTTGCAGATATTCTTGCAGTTGCTTATGACTTTTTCCAACATTGGGTCCAAGTTGACGCCTAATATGTTTAGTACTTGGTCAAGTTGTTCCTGTCCTGTCAGTGCACTTCCCTCCTGGTCCTTAATGCATAATGGTGTAGCTTTTTCAGGTAGAATTGAGCAAGATGTCCAAAGGAGATGAATGACATCTGTTTGCTTGAACTTTGGATTTACCTGAGACCCACTAAAACGAATCAGAGAAAGTGTGCCACTCATGTCTTGGTACTGCGAATGAAGCTTTATAAGCTCCTTTGGAGCTCTCTCTGGATACAGGAATGGTATCATTGAGAGCTCTTTAAGAAAAGTACCCTGAAACAGATCTGACCTCTCTTTGAAGATGTGGTTTAAGAGAACATCTACAATGGTTTGCACTTTTTCTTTGTTCCAGCCCTCTGTTTGGGATTTGATGCTGACCTCTTTTGCAAACTGTAGAACTTGCTGCTGTGAAACTACATTCTTAAGACCAATACTTCTCAGAAAGGTTGTCCATGAGGTCAGAAAAAATGCCCCATTTTTGGGTTTTGACACTTGCTCAACTTTCTTAAAGAAGTCACTTGGTATGAATGATTTTGCAGGTAGCATTACTTCAAACACCTTCACTGTTTCATCATAGAAAAACTTGGCTGACCGGAGTCTGTTAGAGTAGTCATAGATGAAACACAGTCCCTCCAACTTATCAAAAAGCTGATCCTTCATCTCCCATGACTCTTCCATTGACAAAAATCTCTCTTTCAAGTAGATAATATGTTCAACTTTAGCATCATAGGAAAAACTCTCAAACTTTGGCAGGAGATGTCGAAGGTAGATTTCCAAGTCATCAATTGGAATGCAGCCAAGGAAGGTGTATAGATCTTTCAGCTGCTGATTGTCAGCAAGAAAGGAAGAGGAGACTGTATGAGCCCATTTTTCAATGTCTGCAGTCGGAATGCTTTTTGTGAGGACATAGTTTGCTCCGTTGTTTGCAATGCTGATGTATCTACCACTTACTGATTTAAAGCATGGTAGGAGTTTCAGCCTCTGTGTATCCTTTTGTGTGAGGTTAGCTAGATTGCAGTTGAAATACAACATTAGAGCCTCAAAGTCTTTGTCAGTCAAGTTTGCTGTTTTGAATGCAGATGTTTGAATCATGTAGTCTAAAGCATTTAGAACACTTGATGGATTTTCAATGTTTGCAGTTCGTTGCGCTAGAAAGGGAATAATGGGGTTATCTTTGACACATACTTTGTTTACTGCAAGCTGGATGCACCCTGCTTTCATTAGAGTGTGAAAAACTTTGTCATTTTGGCCATGAGGAAAAAGGGCTATGTCTATCAAACTCAGAGGTAAAAGTACATCTTGCTCAGGGACAACTATCCTTTCCCTTGTCATGAATTTAATTCCTGGTAGCAAAGCCCAGTCTTTCAGAATATCAAGTACTGTGTCAAAACTGGGCTTGCTGTCCGCCTGATCTTCCTTTACATCAATATTTTCACTGATGAAGTTCCACACATTCTTCAACCAAGATTCACTTGCAAAGGAGTCTCTCCATTTTACAGGGATCTTTGTTCGATACTCTCTTGGAAGAACTGACCCCAGTAAATCACCAAAGCAACCGATGTCAAAGTTCTTTGCAATTCCTTCCTTTAAAAGGATGTTGCTGTACTTAATGTACAACGTATTCATGAACAATTCTTTCCTTGATGAGATAAGCTCATGATGTATTGTCAGGAACTTTGGTCTCTTGGAATCAAACACCTGAATCATATTGTCCATTGTTATCAACAGAGGCAACCCCTCAATTTTGACTTCATCCACTTCTATTTCTTTAAAGCAATAGTCAACTAGAAGTTTCAAGTTATGAACAAGCTTGTAGCTTGACTGTTGGAGACGGCAGGGGAGTTTTCCAATATTGCAAGATGTGTCTGGTGATGAGAAGGTTTGTATAAAGATGCGGACATCCTCTGGTGTCACAAAACAAACAGGTATCCCTGCATCTTTCAAACAGAAATAGAGATTTGCTGTCTCATCACAGCTGTAAACCAGGTTGAAACCAATGTCCAGAAGCAGGGTTTTCAATCTGTAAACATTTTCAGCCACAGACTTTCTTGAGGTGATGTTGTACTCTGTGTTTTTCAAGTGCTGAAGCTCATCTTGTAGCAGGTTGTCAAAAAAGGCTCTGTCCTTGTCTGCAGTCGATGTAGTCACCCATGAAATGTAAACAACAGAGTGCATTTCAGAGTTGTCATACTGCACTGCTTTGACTACAGGGAGTAAGCGCTTCAGGTCAGCATGGATACAGTAGTAAACTGCTTTAACCAGACAGTACCAATCAGGTTGTATATCAAGTCTGTTGACTGGGAAGAAAAACAGATACTTTCGCAATGTATCTTTAACCACATGTAGTGGTGTTCCTTGTAGAATGGTTAGAGTGGAATCAGGACCTGGGAAGTATCTATGCTTAAGCTGTATCAGCAATTCCACACAGGCAGGGGCTATCAATGATGTCATCAAATTGTTATTCCAGTCACTCCTGACTCCCACTCCATTGTCATCTCTCCATAGGTTTCTTCTAGCAGAGTCTAATGCAAAATGGCCATTTACGTGAAATGGTAAACCCGTCTCCAGTGAGAGGGGCAAAAAGCAGAAAGCTCTGTGTGCTTTTTTGTAGTTTTGGCTTACACATGCAGCTACGCCTCCACGTGGAAAAAGAGTTATGTCTAAATTTTTGTGAGCTGATATCACACTTTTTGAGACGCTTTCAATGTTCGGGAAGCCGGATCGGTTACACACCATCCATGTTGTCATATTTCCATCAGTGTCTTCCATATCCATTGTGTAGGTTATCTGTTGGACTGGGATTGCAGTGAGCTGCTTCTTTTTAGTCACACTATCAACAACTGATGCATGAAACTGTTTACGTTTCAGCCGATCACCATCTGTAATTTTGGCTGTTACAGAATAGAGTACTTTTAGTTCTCCAGATACATTATCAATTTCACAGATTGATATTTTCTCCATGTGGTTGAGGAACATTAAAAGCTCTGCCCCATCATTTTTTAACTTATCCAGAAGGTTTTGCACCATTCTGTCTGATGCAGGGACAGAATTGATCTCTGATGTCTTTGCCATCTCTGTGGAGCGGATGGGAAAGCGGAACATTGTGCTGTGTTCTAACTTGAAATGACTGCCCAAGTAAAGATTTAGTACATCTGAAAACTGAGATCTGAAGTCAGAGTCTAAGTCTTTAAACATTCTCCCAGGACTCACAGATGTAGCTCCAGGTGCATACTGTGCATGTGGGTCAAAGATGCATAGAATGTCATTGTTTGAAATGAAGGAAGGGCAATCAGTGATGTGATAAACAGAGTTGAATCCTATGCCATACTGACCTGTTTTTCCAGGATTGGCCTCTTTTGTTCCTCTTCCAAGGTTTTGTATACCTCTGACATCATCCTCTGTGAAAGGCTGGTTGTTGTATACACAGAGGGCAGGGCCTTGCATTGGGATCCATTTGTCATCGAATATTCTGTCAGTTGGGTGTGTCCTTGAATCAAAAACAAAGTAGATTTCAGTTGCTTTTGCATCATCTGCATTTTGCAGCAGCTCTTTTAGCATTTCTTTTTCTGATGGATAAGCATTCAAAATGCTTTTTATCCTGCTCGTGAGTTTTTCTTTCTGTCCAAACTCACTCCCAAGCGGAGTGAAGCAGACATTTGAGGCGTATCTCTCCAAGGCTTTGTGGCGTTTTGGGACAGCTCCTAATTTCACAGCTACCTCTCTTGGAATGTCTCCATGGCAGTATTTAACAGACGAGTCTTTGACTTTGATCCAAGGACAGTCATTGTAGCATAGTGATTTTGATGGCTGCAATGTCAGTTTGGAGTCCGGTAAAAGAATCCCACCATAATTTTCTTTGCAGTATTCTTGGTTCCTTTCTCGTATTAAACTCCATATTCCTTCACTTATAATTCTGCGGCACAACTGAAAACTCTCCTCTTTTAGTGAGTTTTGGCCACATTCTTGCTTCACAGTCTCAAGAACTGCAGAGAAATCCTCAACGGTGTACTTTGGCTGTACCCCAACATTTTCAAAGAGTTCACGGCAGCTGTTTCTGTATTTGTTAGGGAGTTGATAAAGATGTGGAGCTGCATCAAAATTCAGGTGGAAAGCAACTTTGGGAGGATTGACATATGTGTTTTCCACCAAGATGGAATTGAACGCTTTTAGTTCCTCAGATATTTGTCCTTTTGCCTTCTCATCCTGTAGCATTTCCTCATGAAGAAACTTGTAACAGGCATTTGTTATGTTCTCCTGATACAGTGTGATACCGTCAAATGATTTAGACAGTTTCTTAAGTTGACTGATAACCAGTCCAACTGATGGCTTCCTTATTAGACCAAGACATTCTTTCACAGCCAGTGACATTGAACCACAACCTTTGAAAGATGGGGAATTTTCATTCAAGATTGGCTTCATCAGACACACTGTGTCCTGGTGTTCCGTTGTGAAGAGTTCTCCAGAGGAGAACAATGTTGTTGGAGAAAAGTTATTCCCATGCCATGGGAGTGAGAAGCCTGCAGGTCTTGTCAGGAAAGGAAGGAACTTGATGTCCTTTAGCTTCTCTGAAAGTTTAGCTGCTCCTAAATCTCTCATTTTCAGTTTCTCATCAATTAGACTCAGTATTAAACTGCTACGAAAGCATGCAGCTGTGTGGTCGCTATCATTAAGATCAATAACAGATTGAGCACGTTCAATAAGGTCCTCCCATGACAGATCATCTTTTACCATGCCCAACTCCACAAGCTTCACTAAACAAACAGGGTTGACATAGTCCTTAGAAGTCCCTTCAGGAAATCTTCCATCATCAGTGTTGTAGAGTTTAGCAACTCTCCCCTCTGGATGAATGAGCCGGGAAGGCAAAACCAGATCTTTAGTGGGACCAGAGCATGGGATACAAGGAGTATCCCTGAGAATTGATGCAAAATCTTCAAGTTTCTCATTCAAGACATAATGCATCAGGGGATCACGGAGCTCTTTCTCTATTTCTTGGATGTGAGGGAAAAATACATCTGAAAAGAACTGCTTCTCTGTGAGAGTGTTTTCCATTAACTTCCCTTTACATCCAGCATCGTCAAACCCATCCTTCACCCAGTCAGGCAGCTCAACAGCACAAAGCTTTTGTGAGCCACTCTTCTTGAGGTATTTCAAGAATATCTTGAAAGCAGCAGGCCCAATATCTGCCCTACATAGTAAGGCATCATCAAGGAATCTGACGTATTTGATGGACACCCAGAGTTTGCTGTCTGAGAAAACCTTTGCATGCTCACTGTCACCCCCTTTTGCTATTTCTTGGTAGACACCCTGGCTGATCAGTGTGAAATCATCATGCACTTGACTTGGATCTGGCCATGCTGCATAATAACTGTAGTTGAGCAGTTCTCCACTTTCAGCCATTGAACGTAGCATTGTGAGTGCTGCTAAATATGCTTGGACAATGACATGTCTCATGAACACAGAATTCCATTGTCCTTTAGTGTCAGTCTTCCAGATTTCTTTTCGGTTTGATGTCACTGCAAAACAGCCATTGATGTGGACTGGAAGACCTGTTTTGATTCTAAGAGGTAAGTAACAAAAAACCTCTCCGATTGGTGTTGCACTGGTCTTTACTGTCCATTTATGATCCTCTTCCTCTGCAAGCAGAACAGCAACTCCTCCACAAGGCACAAGTCCAAGTCTTACGCCACTGTCACTGAGGGAAAACTTTAGGGCCTCAGTTACATCCATGCATGAGCAAATGAGCCAGTTGGTAACATCTACTGCCTTTTGGGGCATTTCATCTGTAAGTCTTCTTGTCTGAACACCTTTTGCAGCCATCTCAAAGTACTGGTTAGGATCTTCCTCTGAACCTCTGAACAGTGGAGAGTGAAGATCAACAATACGTTTGAACACATTGTGAAACTCCTCCACCAACACGCGTATGATACAGCCAGACTTGGGAACATCTGCAGGTACCTTATTGGTGCTTGAAACTTTTTTCATAACCTTTGCAGCTGATTTAAGGATACTCAGAGGTCCATATGAGGCCTTGGATGACCACACACTTTTGTTGATGGTGACCACATCTTGTGCTCCTGCTGGATTTTGTTCCTCACATTTCAGGTATTTTAAGACCATACTGCCCACATGCTGTGTAAACAGAATGAACCTATGGCCACATATGCTGAACTCATCAACCAGGGAATAGATGTCTGTGGTGTTGTAGTACAGACAACTGATTTCACTCACTGATGCTTCCTGCTCTGTTCTAAATGGAAGTCTGAACAGCGTGCCATTGTATTTGTATGGGGAGTCCTGAGCTAGAGGAAGCTGGCAGTTAAATACATTAATGAAAGGTTTGAACTGGTTAGGGAATTTCCTCAGCCTCTTCTGTTGTTTGCTCCAGTTGATTTTGATCCCTGGATTAGATTTATCTCTGATGTGCTTGCTGATGTGATTGATGTTTGGATCAAACATTATCATAAACTCTCTGCTCATTATGATGGGAATATCAGTGATGTGATAGACTGAGTTAAACCCCAATCCAAACTTGCCAACCTTGTCTGCTTCACATCTCTTTACTGATCCACCCAACCGTGTAATGTTCAGAAAATCATTGTCTGAGAATACAGAGTTGTTATAAGACCATAAGCAGGGCCCATGACAAATAACCATACCAGGATCAAGAAGATTCTCTCTGATTCCAGTGTTTTTTCTCATGTCAATGAGAAAGCTACACTCTGTTGCACATGCATCATCAGAATTCTGGAGTAGCTCTTTAAAAATGTCTGCTACAGATGGATATTCTTCCAATATGTTCTTTATTCTGACTGTTAGTGGTTCTCTTTGGCCTGACTGTTCAAAACCAAGATTCTCTGGGTTTATTAACCTGGTGCTCAAACATGGCACATTCAACCACTCTGCAGTTTTCATTGGGATGTCATCATGGACTAATATAATGGGCTCTGATGCATCTTCAAGTAAGTCATTCAAATCATCAACCTTGATGTCACAGTAGGTGCATTCATGGATAGGCTTCATCACTAGTTTGCTTGTGTCTTTGTAAGAAAGAATCGGCACATACATGTTAATGTCTACAGGTATCTGACTGTTGTATAGCCATCTTAATATGTTGATTAAAAGGAGGATATCATGCTTGCTTCCCTGGTTGGTGATCCCTACTTCACATATTTTCTGTATTGTGCTAATGACTTCAAACACATGGCTTGGGACAACCTCTTCAACTGAACCACAAAACTTGAAAAGTTTGTGAAACTTTCTTATTGTCTTTGGCAGGGAGTAGAGATAGGGCTGCAAGTCAAGATCAGTGAGGGGTTTTAGGACTGTCTTGCCAGGTGATGAGAATGTCTTTCCTGTCCAAACCCAATCAAAAGGCAATGATTTCATTGCTTCTCTAGCATCCTCAAGATGAGCCTGCATGAAACCATAAATGTCAAACAAGATCTGCTGGAATTGATACCAATCCTCAGTGGTGAATGCTTGAGATTTATGCCAATCAATCACTGCTTTCAGGTGCTGTAAAACTTGATCCACCTGTGGCTCTGCAGATAGTTTCAGCGCCTTTTTCATGCCTGTAGATGTGTGTTCAACCAAAGCTACTGATGAACCCACAAGCACTGCATGGGATATGTCACACATTTCAGACAAAGAGCTGATTTTGACAGTATCTCCAACCCAGGCAAGGGATTTAGGGTATGTTAGAGGTCTTTCTCTGCAGACAGGTACCCATTTAAGTTTAAACAATGATGCCTGTGCACCTGCTGATTTTACCAGCTTGGTTTGTCTGTTAAGAATTTGGAGGAGTGTTTTTGCTTTTTTGATTATCAAGTCCCATTCAGGTTCCTTGCAACTTTGTAACTCCTCTATTTTCAATCCCACTTTGAGCACATCTTTTTCACTAAGCTGTACTTCATTTCGAAGTCCCAGTTGTCTAAGTGAATAAAGAATATCAGGTGAAGACCTGAATGTACTTGTGGGAAACCTGGTTTTCTCTTCCATGTAGAACAGATTTTGCAGAATCTCCAGCTCAGGATCAAAAAGATCTGAGGCTTTGACTAGCTTTCCACAAGGCAACTGAATGAATTTAAGTGAAGAAAGCCATCCAACAACAGACACGTTTTCATTTTTTAGAAAAGCTAGATGTGCAAGTGCCCAAAGCATGATTTGGGTTATTTCATCTGTTGTGTAAAACCCCTTATCAATATCTTGAATGATAATCTTCAAAAATTCCGTTGTTTTCATTTGTTCCACATTGAGAATCTTGACGAGGCGAATTGATTCCTCATCACAGCAAGAGACAAGATTCAGAGATAATTTCACATCTGGTGGATATTTGGCTCTATGATGTAAAGCCCTAGCTCCTCTCAACGATGTAAATGTTGTGGTACCTTCAGAGCAGGTCCCAACTTTCTCAAAGATGGAAAGCTCAAGCAGGGTATGCTTTTCCCTCTCAGAAATGTCAGACAGTCCTGCAAGAAAACCTCTGAGCACAATCTTCTCTTTGACAGACAAAGAAGAGACTTGGCTGGATAACCGCTGTATTGACCATCTATCCATAATTTTCAGAAGGATACCAGGAGAGGAAGGGTGAATGTAGTTTTTAAGCAAAGGATGCTGCAAACATGAATCAAGCTTTTTTATCACAACTACTCCCAGCTTTTCCATGATATCAATTAGACTTCCAGAAAGCAGTGTCTCTTCCTCATCAGCAACAATTATTGGGGATGGAGTTTTGAGGCGAAGAAGCTTTACCTTGTCCATACTTTCCTCAAGTGGCACAAGTGGAATCAAAGGCATGTCTTCAAAAGTGCTTAGGTCATCAGAAAAATGTATATAGAGATGCTTCCATATCATCTTAAGCCAGGAAACTGTAGGCTGCTTCATCTGTACATTTCTAGGTTCCCATTGGACAATGAAGTCTCTAGTTGGCCATGCTGTTGAAAGGATCTCCTTGATTAGTCGAGCTGATCGTTCAGGGTTCAGTAATTGTAGTTGAGTGCAGGGTCGGCCTGTTTAAAACACAAGGAATATTTTATTATTCAGTATTAGACAAGTTGGGCAATTGGTTTGGAGCAGCTTGTATATTAAAAAAACATAGCTGTCAAACAATTAAATGTTTATTAATTGCGAAATTGCAATCGCATTTTTAATACCATGTTTGAAATTCCATGAATTCTCATTTTGTAAATAAAAATTGTTAGGCTTTTAATTTGAAGTTCTGATGGTCTTAAACTGAGATTACTTTAATTTAATTCAATCATGCTTTTATTTTGAAATAAAGTAAAGACCTTCTGGCAGATGGAAGGTTATAACATTAACTTAACCACGTAAAAACAAACTTGTTACAGAACAAAAATAAATGAAAACAGCTAAATGGAAAAGTAAAACGCTGAGCGGTCTAGAATTTGCAGCAGACACAGCTGTGTCGTTCTTTTCCATCACTGTGACTACAGGGAGACACTGCAGAGGCTTATCCAAGGTGCATCCAAAGGGACAAAACAGCATGTGATGAATCACGGTTAAAAAATTGATGCATTAATTTCAGACCTTAATTTATTGTGCTTTACTAGTAAAGCACAATAAATTTAAAAAACAAACAGTGATGTACAGAAAAAAATACAAAAGAGCTAAATATATCTAATATGACCTTAAAAGAGAACTCAATATTAAACAGACTGTTTTTAAAACAACTAGAATGAATAAATTAAAAGGATCAGTCTGTTGAGTAAAAACATAAAACCTAAGGAGCATTAAGTAATCTAATTGCAGAGGGGATGAGCGATTTAGTAAAACGATTAGTTTTACTAGCAAAACATAACGATGTCCTAATGGCAACAGAGATAATTCACTTAAAGGTATAGTATGTAGAATTGTATGACTAATGTTTACATTCAAATATCAAAATTAATTAATAATTGACTAAGGCTATGTTATATATTTTTTTTTGTTGAGTACTTACATTACCTCAAATATTTTGATTGAGAGCCCCCTGGCGGCGGATTTGACATACTGTGCATTTAACATCACATGTCCAGAAGAAGCTAAAATACTTTCAGCCTTTCTGAGGATCTGCTGGTTACAAAAGGAATTCAAATCTCTTTGTTTAACGCCAATAATCAGGTTTAACAATGCTGTTCAGACTGTTTCTGTCCTTAACTGAGAGGCTGTAAAACCAGCAGAGATCTTACAATCTCAACATTTCCATTATGAATGATGCACTCCATGGCTGCCTCTCTCTTGCATCTAAAATAAAAGACAATTCTTTTAGACACTTTCAAGTCTACTTGTTTTCACTGTCATGAAGATTTGACTTTTTGAAAAATTTTAAAACTGGCCCATCAGTCCAGAAATAGCTTAGGTATTTGTATGGAGCTATTAGTGTTGCAATATTGTATGTGTAGTTGCAAAAACAAATCCACACATGCAAACACGAACTGTAAAAGAATCCACAAATGCATCCAGAGATTCACAAATTTTGTACACAGGCACACAAATGCATACACAAATCTTTTCACATATCCACAAATGGTTTCACAGACACACAAATGCATTAACAAATTTATACACGGATCAGTAAATGTATACACATATCCACAAGTGCCTCAACATATCTGTTCACAAATCCACAAATGTGTACACAGATCCAAATATGCATACAAAGGTCCACATATGTGTAACCAGATCTGAAAATATGGAACTTGTAAATGGGCATATATTTATTAACATCTAAAAAGAGATATGCCTTGTGTGTATTTTTATTTCCCAGAGTAAAAAGACTCAGGTCCCTATTTTGACGGCTTAAAGTGCGTTGTCTAAAGCCACTGCACAAAGTGATATAGGGTGTGTAAACTACCTTTTGCTAATTAAACCGCCTTTCATCATTTTCGCACAGGCTGGTCTCGAAGTCATTAATTTACAAGGATGCAGGGATGCTGGCTTTTAAGCCATTGATAATTATGTGCCCATAAATAAATTGCTCTGCAAAGTTGCAAATCTGTGTACACATTTGTGGATCTGTACAGAGCTGTGTTTGCATTTTTGGATCTGTGACAGCATTTGTGAATTTCTGTACAGATGCAGATCGGGTAAGTGGCCGTGGGTCAGTGACAGAGTCAGCTTCCCCCTTAACTGGAAGGTCAGGATAGATCCCAAGCTCCTTCAGTCATATGGCAAAGTGTCCTTGGGCAAGCCACTGAACCCCAAATTGTTCCCGCATTAATGATGTGTGGGTGTGTATCAATGGGATGAGTTAACACTGATGGACACTTTACATAGCAGCCTCTGCCATCAGTTTGTGAATGTAGTGTGAATGGGTTAATGTGACATGCAAAGTGCTTTGAGTAGGATTGCAAAGAAAAAGACTAGACAAGCGTTATACAAGCTCAGGTCAATTTTTTCATTGAAGTCAATTTGTACACATTTGTGAATCTGTGTATGCATTTGTTGATCTTTGTATGCATTTGTGGATCTGAGGATGTATTAATTGATATGTGTAAGAATTTGATGATCTGTGTACAGATTTGTGTGTGCATTTGTAGATCTGCGTACAGATTTGTGGATCTGTCTAAACATTTCTATACCTGTAAGGGTTGTCTAACAGTTACAAATTTGAATCCCAATTAATCGCAACATTTTATGGGTGACCCCATATAGTCGAATACTCAATATTTCGTTCATGAGCCTCAGCTGACTTACAGTCTCACAGTTGAGCACAATGATCATCCCGTTCAAGCTACATGGGGGTGTTTAAGGTCTATTTTTACATAGATTTGCTTGTTTACTCCAAATAATGTATTGCTCATAGCCTATCTTGGTATGAATATCACCTTATTAATATGTTTAATGCAGTTATAAAAGAAAACACTCATACTTTAAATCAATTTCCTTAGCGACTAAATTTTCTATCAGCCTAACAAATTTAACACCTTGCTGGGACTGGGGTGGAACAACATTTCGATACAGCAAAATATTGTCTTGACTCATTTGATACAGTTATTGAAATTGCTTGGGCACACTATATCACTACTTCCGTCTCCTAATGGTGGTGTTTATGACATGAATGAGGGTAACGTGCACATAAATTAACTGGCCACAGGCGATGAAGCCTTTGAAATAATGTAAAACTTGGCTGAAAAGTAATTTATTAATAGATGAAGCGTGATAAGAGTTGAAAGTGACAGAATTTAGATTATTTTGGTCCTTTTATATTTTTTAAGTAAATCTTAAATCTTGATAGAACATTACATTATTGTTTTACAATATAACATCAATTGCATAATCACTGTATCACGATGTCATTGTTGTTATTGTAGGCCATGGTATTGTACGGGGAATTACCCTGCAATTCCCAACCTTAGTTTTGACAGAAATTAATGAATTTTTAAGTTGCAGTTTGAGATCTCTCACCTTACTTTTTTTTTTACACTGCCTTCAGTTGCCCCTTCACATTTCTGTGAAGGTTTTAATACAAATACTTTAGTTAAGATGAAAAATTAGATCAGATTTTCTGATTTAAATCGATTCTCATATGAAAGATCTGATATCGATTCATAAAATCAAAGCTCAATCTTTAATAGGCCATTCCATTTCCCCTCATCCATTGGAATCAGTTTGGGTGAATAGTTCCTCCTATCCCCTTTCACTATCCACTTTACCTTAACCCCGGGGAAAACGTCATGAGGTTAAGGAAAGATGTTCGGAGAATTCATAAAGGACTTAGGGAAAGGCGATCTCGTTGCTCTGACAATCCAACCGCATTGCCACTAGGCTACGTAATTATGCGATGGCGGAGGTGAATGACGTCGGGTCTGCTGTGGTGAAACGCATCTAAAAAACTTCTTCTGTGCCTTCATACCAGTGAAATAATCCTAATTACCACGAGGAAGTGAAATAAAAGGAATATAGAATACTAGGCAAGAGTAACAAAAGGGGAGAGTTTGCTCATGTCACCTTCCTGTCCACTCATAAACCAACATTCATCCAAAATAAGTATGATTGTATGAAATTAATTGTTACATTTATGCAAGAGACACATAATGTTTTAGGCATACACATTTAAAACTGCACAAAGCATTCTTACGTGAATTAAATATGCTGAATAAAACATCATCTGGCTAAAAATGTCCCTTACATGATCTGCGTCCCTTTATGGTCATCATTAGTTTCCATGAACGGTCGGGTGTGCGAGTCGCTTTAAATGTTGCGGCTGCAACGAATTGTGGGGCGGCAAAATCTCATCTCCTTTCGTAAAGGATAGTCCAGTGTATCCTATGCTAAAGGAGGTTATAAAGGAAGCATTGACCCACCTTTCCTTAGCTTTTAGATCATTCGATCGGCTCTTATCATGGCCGCCACTTAAATGCTTCTGGGGTTAAGGTGAAGAGGATAGTGAAAAGAGGAGGGACAATTCGAACGTATTTCTGTACAGTGAGCAGGATGGATTACATTTATTTTTATGAGGATTGGATTAGGACAGTCACTGAATATACACATAGTATATGTGTAAGCGCGTTTGATGTAGCTGCAGCAACTTTTCCCTGCTGTCTACATGACGGTGCATCGAGGGGGCAGACACCCCTACGTGCTTCACAAAGGCACACACACACTGGAGTACCAGCCACCATGCGCTCCTGTTTACTTTAAATTCAACAGAACAGAGTCGATCCGTAAGGACTGAGTCGGGAAAACACGTGATCCGGTCAAACGGTCGGTTCGACTTTTCTCTGTTCACCGTGTCTGTAGCTATCTTAACAAAAGCAACGTCATCCACACAGACTCTGTGAAACAGCGCTGCGTTATAAACTCTTTAGATGTAGAGCTTGTAAATGCAGGCTCAACTAGTGATGTGTCGTTCGCGAACTATTTGTTCAAAAAGACAGAATTTTATGGGTGAACGAACTGAACCGAATAACTTACTGAAAAGAGTCGTTCATTTCTCAACTTCAGTTCAACTCTCCTCTCTCCCGTCCCATGTCTGTCTCTCTAGATCGCAAGTGGCGTGCCAAGTAGAGTGAGTCGCTCTCCATTTCATGTCTCATACTGGTGCCTCCGAGGCATTGGTCAGTTAGTGATTTGATTTGTGTACTGAACAGTACGGGAACAGGACGAGAGCCCTGTGTTGTTCAAGCCCGCCCCTCCATCTCCCTCTCATGTCTCGAAAATCGAGGAAGTAGCAAATATTTTATTTGACAATTATGTGTCGTGAAAATGTATGTGCTTTTTATAGCTGCTGTCAGTTTGCAAACGGCTTATTTATCCAACTTAATTTAACTCACCTGACTGTTTTATCATCCACTAACGACAGTCTCAATCTGATCATGTTTCAGTACAGAGTCTGTGGGCCTGGTGTTGGTGATTCGCACGTTCTGATCTGATTCGCAGTCAGAGCTCAGGTTAAGCACCGAAAGATTCGGTGAACGAATCTTTTGAACAAATATTTTTAATGAACTGATTCTAATGATTCAGTACCTTCTGCTTTTCCCATCACTAGACTCCACTTTTGTCTTCCAACACGCGCAGCAGGAGCAGTCAGAGAAACACACACCTCCGACAATAAACAGTCTGCTTAGATTAGGTGTTTTACATTATCGAAGTAAAATAGAGAGAAAAGCTTGTTTTTGTGGATTTAGAAAATAAAGGTATAAATATATTTTTTTGAATTTCTCAATTTCCTAATCTGGTAAAATGATTCAATCCGTGATTTACATCTCTTGATTCAACAGAACATATGACTTTACTAACTCAATTAAATGTAATGTAACAAATGTGTAAGTGAGACAAAAACTAAATTTGTTATTTCGGCTGGTAAAAAAATATATGCTTGAATTTTTTCATCTAGCCACCTTGGTCGGTGAGTCAAAAAGTTAATTTCGGACCCTGTTCTCATTATAGCGACAATGACTGGAGACTCAGTCACATGTTTTTCAGGCAAGGCAAATTCAAGCAAGCCTCAAGGCAATTCATCTAGATTAATTGTTTTCTAAGGTGACTTAATAAGTACATTCATGTAACTGCTTTGGAGTACATTTTTTTTATGTAAACCTGAACCTTTTTAATATGTTTTCTTTGAGAATCCTAATCATATTGAAACAGAATTGGTGTTGTAACTTAAATATCCCTAAATTAATTGCTATCGAATCAAATCGGGAATCGAATCGAATCGAATCGGGACCTTATGAATCGGAAAATTTAATCGATTCAGACAATCAGTGGTGATACCCAGCCCTGAATGACACTATGTGAATGCAAGGTAAAAATGACATTTACATACATGCATTTATGTGTAAGTAATTATTTGTTATAAATAAGTCATGTTACATTACCTCTCGTTTTTACTGCTTTCTTTAAACTGCCCATTACTGAAGGTTTGAGGTTTTCCAACATGAACCGACCCTGAAGACCTGGATACAGAGACCTAATGTAAATGCAAGAGAAAATAGGCAACTTAGTGTTATTTTGACATGAAAATCAACTCAGTTGTAATACAGACTGCAATTTGCCTCCTAATGAGGTGTAAATAAATAAATAAAATTCCGTTTTTTTCTACCTGGGGTATTCTTCAGATGCAATGTAAATGGCATCCTTTTCACTGACAGGAGATGTAAAGGTTGTAAATGTCCCATCCTGCAGTGGAAGGAGCTCCAGTCCTATGAGGTCACTGTAATTAGCATCACTTAGTGCAAACTCAAGCAGCAGCAGCTTCTCCTGTGAGGACCCTTTGGGTTTGTTCTTCCTGATCACCTGCCGCAACAAAGATGCAGTCACTTTCTTCACCTCAGAGGACTCGGCTATGTAGGCAGCTAAGACAGCGTCCACAACCATAGATACTTTTGCCACCTGCATTCCTGTGCCTTGGAGGTAGTTGATCACAGTCGCTGAAATGTCCTTATCTGTGTCAAGGTCTGAAAACACAGCCTGCTCTACCTGTACCCAGCTCATATTGAGTGAATAGATTACTGGTTGCTGCAGTAAGCTTTCATAAAGTGGCTTGAGGATAGGTTTCCAGCGAGATTTGACCTGCTTAGGGTCTGGCCAGGCCCTATACGTCCCTGTAGGGGATAGTGGAAAGTCTTGGTCCTTTTCTGTCTGCACCCTTTTTATAGTGTCAGTTATGAGTGTGAAATAAACTCTAGGGGTGACAGTGATTATCAGCAGCTCATTCCACAAGGCTGCTGGATCCCTCCACTGGTCCACCTCCCGCCATTTGATACTCCTACGGTTGTCTGTGAGTCCAAAAAAGCCACTTACATGAACTGGAAGCCCTGTCTCACTCTCTTCTCCGGGAGGAAGAGGAAGGAAGCAAAAAGCTTGTCCTGAGAAACCAGATGTGGCACCTTTGTCTTCTTTGTTCATCAAAGTAAGAGGTAGAGCAATGCCAATGGTAGGCATGAACTTCAGTTCATCTGCCAGAGAGTCTAACTCTGCACACAGTCCTCTGCCCCCAACACCATTACAAACCAGCCATGTCATCCTCTGAGTCTCTTTGGCCATTTCATCCTGTGTCTCTATGTTGACCTTATAAGTGACGCATGTTATTTTCGAAGTGAGAGCACCATCGCTATAGCTGTTTACAGCCTGACTCACTGTCTTCAGTGCGTTAGGTCTTTCTAATTTATCATCAGTATTCCCGGTTGATGTAACCTGAAACATCATGTGCTCTGTACCATCAGACTCACGTACATGTAAGGAAATCTTTTGAATGCTCGTAAGAAAGAGGAGAACTGTGTCTGCATCTGCTTTGAAAGACTCAAAGAGCTCCAAAACCTTTTCTTTGTTGTAAATGTTGCAGCTTAGCTGGGAGGGTTTCATGCGGAGCGGGAAGCGAAACAACGTTCCAGGAAAACTGCTATCCTTAATGGTTTTCTCAGTGCTTCCAAAAATCCCAATGAATGGAGCAAACTGGTCAGCCATTTCTGCGATCTCCTTATGGTCTGTTTTCACGTTCCAACAATGTCCAGACTCATGCACTCCAAATAGGGTCTGATGAGGGTCCAGCATGGCTATCTGGTCTCCACTGAATATTCCAGGAACATCTAATTATTGAGAAGAAAACACAGTCACTATATATTCAAACGTTAATCTGTTGTCAATTTCAGAGTGGTACTAAAATAAAGTTTAAATGTGAGATTAAAAGAAACATTTGTTATTATTAAAGTCATGATTTATAAATTAAAGCATTTTCTTCAGTTTTTCCAAGTTGAACATTTGTGTGTTATTGTAAACAAAATATCTTGGGCTGTCTTTGAGACAAAAACAGACATTTGAAGGTGTAATCCTAGACTTTCATAAAAAGTAAGGGCCACAATTATTTTTTCACATCTTATAGACTATGAACCATGCATGAATTGAGAAAATCAACAGCAGATTGGTTGATAATGGTAAATGCAGCCCCACATGAATACATTAAATAACTTTCTTTCAATAAGGACTTTCAAATAACTTATTTATTACCAGGGGTTAAGACCTGGTATTGCATTTGCAATTTTTTCTCCTGTGATTTGATTCTGATGTAAAGCTCAAATTATCAATTAAAAATTGTCATCTTTTTACAGGCTTGGCGAAAAAAAAAAGTATAGGCAAACACTAACAGAGTTTCCCAGATAATATTTTGCCAAGATAATTCTTCACGAAGGATACTACCAGATTTTCAAGATTGATTATTCATGAAGGAAAAAAAACATGTATTGGCACTCGATATCAGAAATCATAGCTTTCTTCAATACACATCACACCTGTAACATGGTAAACGGAATTAAAGCCAATCCCAAATCTTCCAACTTTCAAAGGGTCATCTCGCTTCCTGCTCCTTGCAATTTCCTGAATGCCTTTCCAGTCTTCCGAAGTGAACTCGGCATCATTGTAGACATACAATGCGGTACCTGCAATATAGTGAGTTAAAACCAAAAACAAGTTAGGAAAACCTAATTATACATATTCAGTAAGGTAAAGTGTACTTATGTATTATGCTAATACTCCCATTATCAATTATTTTCTGTTCACAGGGAGGTCAACAGAGAAACTGCTTAATGAGGCTTAAGGAAACTGCTGCCATCACAAGGGCTTGAACCCTATTCTCTCCATATGAAGGATAGTATGCATTGTCATTGGTCTATCCTGATGTGCATATGTGTACCGTAACAACTGACCTTGATACTGAGCCATGTCAGCTGACCACAGTGACTCCACTCCATACTCCCTCTCATCGTACATAAACTTGACTTCTGTGGCTCCAGCATCTTCTGCATTTTGAATCAACTCCTTGAAATAAAACACAGCAGTACATTCATTTAGAAAGAAAATCCCTTTGTTGTGGTTTTAGGACAGGTAATGTACATGATGACATTAGCTGGTACAGAGAATGCTTTCATCCCAAAAGTCTGATAATATTAAAACAAAAGGCAGCAGTCAAAATGTCACGTGTTACTGACTATAGTCTTTAGTCTTTAGACTATAGCCTTTGCCTGGGATGAAATCTTAACATTAAAAGCACACAACAAAGAAAATAGAATCTATTGTTCTAAGAATAAAAACTATTTTTTTGTTGTTTTTAGGTCCAAGATCCACAAAAAAAATCAAAAAAATAATGTAGCATGACACTTACTTTCAGAATCTGTCCACCCTCAGGGTACCTCCTCAAAATATCTTTCAAAAACTCAACAAGTGGGGGTGTAGTCTGTCCAAACCTCCCTGTAAAAGCAGTGTTGAGTAAGACTAATCAAATTCAAAATTGGTATTTTCACAGAGAAGTGGTTGTTTAAATCCTACCTCCCCCTTTAAGGCCTCTTCCCTCCAGTATTACAGATACTTCTGGGCTTCCGGCAGGCACCAATGTTCTGATCAGCACACTGTCATCCAGCTAGAAGTGAAGGATGTGGAGACAATAATGTTATTAATGAGGAAAATAAATGAATAAAAACATGCTAGTATGTTATGCGAGGATATTGTCTCGGAATGTTCAATTGCATGCGTTTAGCCGCAGCGGATTTTGTATTTTTGTAAACCTGCACAGTTGTCACTTGAAACTTTTGAATTACATAAGATATTGTACTGCTACTCCAATACAGCTTGTGTTTTCTTTTAATACAACCAACACAGTTATATCTTTTTTTATAGCCTTTTTTATAGCCAATTAAGTGGTTTGTGAGAAACTAACTGCATTGTCATTGAGGAACAAATCTCAAAAAATGAAAACTTCTACATCTGCCTTTAATTTAAATGTTACTTTACACTCATTGAACAACTTGAAAGCCAATAACTGACAATCATTTTGATGCAAACTATTAAGTAAATATCAAAGTAAATATACAATAAGTATCTCATCAGACTGATCAACTATACGTGCTGACATAAGTGTGTTCAAAATTATTTTGAGGTTTCATCTTTTGATGCAGCAGGGAGACAGCATTTGTACTATGCCTGAAACTGCTGCCCTTGCTCTTACAGTAAGGCTTTTTAAGGTGACCCACTCTGCAGTCTTTGTACATTAACACGCTGTCCAGCAAACTGAGCTCTGCTTAATGAAAAACTCTTAGTCATCCTCATTGCAGTCACTGCCCTGTGCAATAGTTATTTGTAGAATTAAAGATAAATTAAATTAAATTCATGTTGAATTTCATGTAAAAAATAATGTTGATACTGCCCATATATAAATGAATTGATTATTAAAATGCATACCTTTTGCTTAGTGTGCTTAAGTATAAAATATTTGGATATACGGTATGACAATATAATATATTATTGAAAGCACTAACAGAACAGACACACACGCATTTAGTATAAAGAAATGTAATAAAAATCACATACAAGAGGCAAAACTTGCCTTTAAGTTTCCTCTAAAAAGCCTACAACTCAGCTACATAATGTTTTGCGCAGTGCCTCCTCCTTTGTTTCTAATTTAAATGGAATCAGGCAGTAGAACAATGTAACTCTAAAGGCACCATGATAATATTCATACAGTATAATATACTCAGAACAAAATTCATCACTAATATTTTTTATCTTGAGTTTTGTCCTGATTTGTACGCCCTTTGTACTTGATGCAGTGTATGTGACTTGAGTTTGTAGGTGTGGCACTGTGGCTTGCAGCTAATTTTTGCTCATGAGATCAGAGGGGGGCTTCTAGAACTGACCACCACCTGGTGTTTTCCATCAGCCAAGCCAAAAACCATAGGATTACCTCTAGTTATATAAGGCACTCACAGGAACTCTGCAAACTATCTATGGCCTTTAGTATTTTACCTTCCAAAAGAAAGGTCTTAAATAAACATCACAGATACATCTGTTTGGTCCAAAATACAATTTATCTAGCAGAGACCATTGTCAGAAATAAAAATTATAGTAATCACTCTTAATACGGTAACTTAATACTATTAGATTAATATTAAATAATATTATTATAAGATTATAAACATAGATTTGTTAAATGTACCAATAAAGCTATATGATTTTAAAAATACATCACTCCATACATATTTAGTTTACTTTGTAAAATGACAAATAATGTGATCTATGCAATATAATATACTACATACTGAAACTGAGCCAAATAAAGGGTTTATGATTATGACTAGGATATGAATTCTACTTAACTACAAACTTCTTTAAGGCCAATTTCAAAATTAGATAAAGACAAAATTGCTACTTTTCCTACTTTTTTTTCTAAAATCTTTGAGCAACCTTTATGTACTCTTAAAGTCCGGTGTCTGATAATAGTTTGGCAAATGCATCTGCTGGATAACAAACAATGACCAAGAACCTAAATATTTAAGACTATGGACAGACATCTTTTGTAAATACAACATACCAATAACAATTTTCTGAATAATTTACAGGTTTTTGATTAATGGTGCAGATTAGGCTTGCTATTTTCTCAATGGCAAAATTACCAATTTCCTATTTTTTTACGCTGTGAAGTATTTAAAGTATTTATTTAAAGAAAACGTACCACTCTCCCATTGTGAGTGAGGCGTTGCTCAATGACAGGCAGGTTTGTCTCCTCGTAGAGCAACTGTTTGACATCTTGAACAGATGTGAAGGGAGAGACCTCATAGGACCTCAGGCCAATGTAGTCATGACGAACTGTTACCCGTGGAAACCTTGTAAAAAAAAGTAGTAGTAGAAAAATTATTATTGAAAGCATTTTCATTGTATACAGTGTGAAGAATTTCAGTGTATTTCGTGTGTATTTTTCATTTGTGCCTATTTTGATCATGTCAGCAGACACAAATGGCATGCTAACCAGGCTATCAGAGAACAATGGTTATTGAACACTGTTGTTCATTTATTTAAAAATAAATAATAATTATGCACATTCATAACTTAGGACACCGTCCAGGCACCATTGTCAATAGTTTCAAAATGCATCTAGACACCAGAGGACATTAGAGAATTACTTACAGTCATTATTGATGAACAGAGCTGGGCACACGTCTGTTAATCTACTAATCGTTATTTATCTTTGTTGTCGTAAATATATAACTTCACAAGATGCTCTAACTTTCTCATTTACTTATAGGGAGATGCTGCTCTCCTGGTACAGGCTTACAATAGATTAAAACAACGACTTTATTATCGTAAATCTATTACTTTATTCTCGCAAATTTAAAACTGTATAATCGTAAATAAAGTCATATTTCCTCTCCCCCTTAATACTCCATCGTCCATCATCCAAAGCCTGTTCTTACATGCCAAGATGGATCACAGACAACCTGAGCATGAGCACACCACCTCCTATACTTTAGAGCAGTGGTTCTCGAAGTGGGTTGGAATACTAACTATAAAGAGGGTGGAAAAAAAATGTGAAGTAACAAATTGCAGTTCATCCTGTAGGCAGTACGGTAGGCTAAATGAATTGTTGAGAAATATGTGGATCAATTTGCTCCTACAGCTGCATCCTACCCCCAACTCCCCCTCAAAGCTATAAGAGGAAATGGCAGCAAATTCTACTGACACTGATTTAAAGTCTCCAAGACATACGTCTCAGAGTGTAAACAAATGCCATGTGAGGATACGTAAATAATGCTGCATGATTTAACAGCCAAAATGATCCAAAAAGACTAGAAAAAAGGAATAAGAAAACAAAGAGTTTAAATTTTAAGATACATAGATCCTGAGTGTTAGCAAATACAACTAAGCTAAACAAGGATGTAGATGGCACAAAGTCCACTGTTTAGGTCTACAGAAAACATCCTAACGAGTATGTCTTTGTTCAGTTTTCACTAAAGACATGGCATTCGGATGAGTATTTCCGACACTACGACAGCCACAAACGCATTCAGCTGAATGTCACCAGTTAACACGGCCACTCTTTAAGCCGTAACACCGGTTCATCAGCCTCACAAGAATGCCTCTTTTTTTTCCTCTGATAAGTCGTCTTAAGCTAGGCTACAACAAAACAAGAGAGACTTCATGGACTGTTAAGGACCTCCACACAACATAAAGTCACATCTTTGCTGCGATGAAAGCTCATCACGTATACCTCTGAAAGGTAGGCGTTAAAACTCTTTATAAAACTCAATTGTTTTGTGTGTGTGAGTGAGTGTGTGACCAAGATGAGAAAGTGTTGTATTGGAGAGATGTGCTTTGGAATTGTTTATTTCGAGGTTTTTGAAATACGGTTGTTTGAAAAGTATCTGGAGCCTATGTGTTGTCCTGATCATGCTGTAGTCTATTCTTGCTTCTTTTTTTTTTTTTTACTTCCATTCTTGATAGAGTTTCAAAATGAGTGCATGTTGACTCAATAGTAATGCTGACAATTTAAGCAATTTTTTTATGACTGGGGCAAAACTTGCTTTTTGCCTAGAGCAGCACAAGTAGCCTACTTGTTGGGCCTGGTAGGACCTTACAGTAGAATGACACAGATTGGTAAACAACAGTATGGAGGACACAATGCTGTGTATCTATCTGTTGCTTTACAACAACATACTTTTAATGTGGCCAGAAATGTTTTGCATTATATTACACTAACCTTGATTGTGGACAGTTGGCCATCTCGTTGCTGCTATGTGCCCAGGCACACACACATTGATAGTTTGATACGATCCTCTGCAGAAGAAAACTCCACCCCGAAGACGGCTGTCAACAACAAGCCCGTTAGTTTCCTCACCTGTCAGACCTGCACAGCGGGGTGCTACAGTATCTATAACATTCACAATATACAAGCAGACAAAGTCAATATGATAGCTTATATATTGACTTTAAAAGGGGGCTTTCTCTTACCGTGCCAGTGCTCGGGGTTTGGTTTAAACCTCCTTAGTATCATGATCCTGTTGTGACTCTGTCCAGTGCGCACCGACAACAGTCATCTCTAAAAGCCGATTCGCTTCACCACAGATTGTGATTCCTGGAAATAAAATCAGCAGAAATAGAGGGTTACGTGATACCCCCCCTTTGATCAACACGCTCAGAACTGCAAAGGCGAAATGCGATGTTGTAACTATAATGGATTACACTGCATGTCAGATCAAAAACTCTGGAGACAAGTCTTGGTATCTCCCCCTCCCGGCCACTTCCGCGTCGTCTTAAATCCACTCAGGTCTTAAATGTTCTTTAGGCCGTCAATGTTTATTCGCGAAACTAAGTGATATTCAATTTCTTAGAGAGCCCTTTTTCATATTTGGCAAGCCTTCACTACTTCTACCATATGGGCTACCAAGGACCGATCATATTTCGCGCATGCGTTGTTGCGTACTTATGGGATCAAACAATTTGGAGCTAGCCAGCCATCTACCAGCTATGAGGTTCATATCAGGGACGTAATGAGGATCTTAGAGGGGCAGGGGCCCACATTTACAAACAGGCATGGGATGATAGTTTTGACATTGTCAAGGGAAAGGTTTATATACATTTACATATGATTATGATGATAATTAGGAACATTTTATTATAGATATTTAAAACAAACCCAAGATAAGGGTGGTTCAAAGCATTTGATTTTTTCATATTATATGACATGCCATAATGCAACAGAGATCTGATTATATGTTTAATACATATCTAGCTGAGTACAATGAGTTAAGATATTTAACATGTTTTTTTCTAGGCTGAGACCAGCTGAGGTGGGTCTGGAGGATTCTCTAATAAATAGATAATAAACTAATAAATAATCATTTGAAATGTGTTTGTTAAATTTATTTTACAACTAATATCAATAAACATCAGTTGATTAAAGTTGTCATTTCTGTGCATTTTGGTGACCATAAGTTAATTTTAGGGTTAACCAAATATATCTGAGCTAATATTCTCATTATAATATTGTCTGTGGTATCGTCTGCCAGTTGACTAATAACAATTTATTTATTGTGATGCCTTTCAAGGGACTGAGTTTAACAAAATGACATAGCAACTGAGCGGATAAAAGGAATTCGTCTGGGGGAAATAATAGCCCTGTCTGACTTCACAATTTAAATCAAATCTTGGAGAGGTGCCTGTCTGCATTCTTATTCATGGTTCAATAGCTGAACAAAAGTAATTACCAAAGCTTATCTAATGCCTATAATATGAAGTTAAGTTCAATGGGGGCCACATGCTTTGTGGATGTCTATAAATTAAATGAAACTATCTTCAACGAAGAGACCAGCATAATCAATAAGGTCTAGCATAAGTCTTATGCTATTATGTAACCAGTTTGAGTTCAATAGATGACATGGACTCCAACAGGTTTCTAATTTTTTTGGAATTTTTCTCCAATATAATAAGCATTATTAAGGAGGCAGATTGGTTGCCAGTTGTCAATGTGAAATGGATCAGCTTAAGGTTTGCAATAAGAGTTTAAAGATAGATCTAAGGTCAATGCTTTAATAAATACACCTTGCAGGAGGGGGCTTGTTGTTCTGCAAATACAAATAACATTCGGATATAAACAGTATATGCGTATTTATCTATTTATTTTACTAAATTGAGCACTATGCTGACAAGGTCAGATTAGTTGACTACATTTAAAGTTGTAGTAGATAGTTTTTTATTTGGATTGTTCTTTAGACAACTCTTGAGGGAAATATGGAGCTTAATAAAATTAGCATAATACAATTGATAAATTGTTGTTATTAGCACAGATTTCATGTCATTATTAGACTTTATTGACTTCACCCAGGAATAACAAACCTACTCATCATTCTTACCACACCCTGGACCTTGTACTAGAATAAGGCCTTGAAATCAATAATTTAACAATTTTGCCAGAAAATCCTCTTTTAACAGATCATTTCCAAATAAGATACCTTTTCAGCACGGGAGCCAGGCTGACAGAGAGTCGTAGCTCCATTTAGCCATGTACTCCTTTAACCCTCAGCAGAAAATATTTCATGAGCTGTTTTGATAATAAGATTCCAAACATTAGACATAGAATTAGTCACATCATGCCCTACCTGGTGCAGATTCCTCCTCACACTTTGGTTGGTGGCTAATTTTTGTGTGACTTTCTCCATCGCAACAGTTTATTTGAAAATGTTCAGTCAGGATATTCAGATAGTACTGAGACTGCACTGGTTGAAGTTACAACTTATCTACATCTGGCTTCGACCAGGGGACTTCTCTCTGTGCTTGTCCTGTTAGATCTTAGTGCTGCATTTGACACGATTGTCCATCACATCCTATTGCAGAGACTAGAACAATTATTTACAAATCCTCTACACACACCAAGGTTAGCCATGGAGTTCAACAAAGGTTCAGTTCTTAGACCGATTCTCTTCACTTTATATATATTTTTCCTCTGGGTAATATTATGAAAAATTCTCCATATATTTACATTTTTAGGCAGATGATACCCAAATATTTCAATTAAGCTGGATGACACCAATCAGTTATGTAAACTAGAAGCATACTTTAAGGACATTCGGATCTGAATGACCAGTCATTTTTTTGCTGCTGAACTCTGACAAGACTGAAGTTATTGTAGTTGGCCCTGAACAACCCTTTTTAAATAACATAACTAGATATTATCAGCCTGGCATCCAGCCGGTTAGAAATCTGGGAGTTCTACTTGGTCCTTTAACTACTAAACCTTCATCACATCTCTAAAATAGGCGACATGGTAAATGGACTTGAGCTTATATGGTGCTTTTCTAGTCTTCCGACTACTCAAAGTGCTTTTACACTGCATGTCACACCTACACATTCACACACTGGTGGTAGAGGTCACTATGAAGTATCATCCATCAGAAGTAACTAATCCCATTCATACACCGTCACCGAAGCAGCGGGAGCAATTCGGGGTTCAGTGTCTTGCCCAAGGACACATTGGACATGTTGCCCAGAAGGGGATTGAACCCTTGACCTTCTGGTTGATAGGCGACAACTCTACCAACTGAGCCACAGCCGCCCCAGACATCCTGTCACAGAACATTGAGAAAAACTAGTCCCTGCATTTGTTACCTACAGGTTGGATTTTTGTAATTCTCTTTTATCAGACTGCCCTTAGTACATCTCTAAAGACTCTTTGGTTGGTTCAAAATGCAGCTCATGTACTGACTACAGAGCTAGGAACACTACGCCTGTATTGGCTTCTTATTTTTGTGTTGTGAAGAGTCAGATCCTATTCCAGCAGACGCATGTTCAGTCCGTCTCCACTCCGCCACGGCAGGGGAGCTAGGTTTTTAATTTATTCAACATGTGTGTGTTTCATAGACTGTAAATATTAATGGATGAAGTCTGAGTAACGTCAGCCATCTGTTACAGCAGGGGGCTCCGGAGGCTCATCGTCAGCCGCCGCCATGCTGGAAATCTCAGCCTAACTTTCAGTCAACTTAACGACAGGCTTAGAGCCAAAGTTGAGGCGGGGTTAAAGCCTCTTGACGAACTGTTACATCGCGGCCACCTGTCAATCATGTCAGCTATAATCCAACTAACTATGGATAACACATATTGTTTTCAAAATCAAAACAGAGCGGTTTAAAAATAAATAAATAAATTATAAATCCCCCCCTGTACAATGTGTGATGACAATCTAATCAGACTATTTCTTGTTTGTAACTTCACAACTTCTTTTTTGTAACTGGCTGTAAACATGTTTATTAATGCTGTAAAAACAGATTTTTTTTGCCAGTCATGGATATGAGACTTCCGGTGTTCCTGGAGCCAATCCCAAGCTGACACTGGAGGAACTGCAGGATTTTGCACTTCCGGAGCCATCTGCTTCAGATAGGCTTCTATTTATGACGGACACTGGATACACCAAGCGGGACAGGAAATCATATAGGGCCTTACCCTACCGAAACAACATTAAACATCCAGTTTATTTCCAGGATAAACAATCCGTTTTGACGTTTGAAAACAATTAGCCTACATTATGTGTGTTTGTTGTTGTGTTTATATGTAATCACTGTGGGAATTCCTTCAGTTGTCGGGACTCCGGCGGACCTCCGCGCTGCTCCGCGCTGCAGGTGACAGCAGCTGTGGCAGCCTGCAGACTGCGCAGCGTGTGGCTGACTGTCAACACGGTGTTGACGGGACAAGGGAGCACGGAGCTGAAACGCAATGCACACGTAGACTACTGGAGGAAGTGAAGTAGGGGCGTATTCCCCCTCCATCCTGATCCGCCACACTGGACATGTCGTCAAGATTGAAACTTTGCATGCTGCTATAGTCAACATGATCGACATAGCCTACCCGGCCGATTAATCCCATTTATTTACATACGTAGGCTTAGGGCTGATTTGGAGGATTCAGGCTAATGCGACTCTTGATGGGCACAGGTCTACCTCTACCTATCTGGTGGATAAACTACCATAGACCAACAAATCTGTATTATTGTTTGAAAGAATCTGTCAGTGTGCCTTTTGACAAAAATCAACATGACTCGTGAAAGTGCAATTATCAACTCAAAGTCAAGTAGCCTGGGCCTAGGAGGGCCTACTTCAAAGTATAAACTGGTCTCCGAAGGGTCCTGTTGGATTAGCGAATACTTCACTCCGTCCTTCACATCATAACATCACGGCAACCATGCAGTGAAAAACATTCAGCTCTAGAATACTGTATGCAGAAATACGCCAAACTTACCAGAGTAAAATGATATCAGCTATCCTTAGCTATGCAATAGGTTTGTATATAAGGCTCATTTGAATTTAAAAATAAAATGTGTTTTCTTGGGATCTTAAAATGACCGTATAGCCAAAATGCAATTGTGCGCTGTAGCCTTTCTCTTAGTGCCGCATTGGCGAGAGAGAGAGAGAGAGAGAGAGAGGATGATACTCACTTTGAAAAAAAAAAAAGAGGGCATGCAGCGTCAGTGCAGCATCTTTTCTATCCAGGAAGGCTCCTTTAAATAGGTTACATCCATGAGTAGTAGAATAACCGACTATAGAGGTGACAGTTTGGCAACAATATGCCTTAGGATGAACTATGCAATGTGATGAGCTCCGGACAGTTTCATACGGTCTCTTAAAGCGACAGCTGCCGTATACACTAAGATCCAATGGGGTACATACAATCACAAAAATGGGATGGGCAAAGAGTACAAAAGTCAATAGAATTAAATGGAATAGAATACAGATGAAGTTGACTTTAGGATGAGAAGTATGCATTTTTGATATAGCAAGTATAGACTTAAGAGTACGACTGCACAGTTGATGAATAAGATACAATGAAAGGGAAAAGACAAGAGTGAAGACTTACTATTTTTGTTGAAAAGTATGTACATATGGTTTAATGTCCTCAAAATATTTTACAGAAGTGTAGATAAAGGTAAGACTGCACTTTAATTAAAATAATATAGAATTCATGTCAATTTGCCACTTTGTAAGAAACACGGCCAACATATTATAGGTTAATAATAATTTAATACAAAAGAACAGGATAGAGTAGGGAATCACATAATACATGTGACTTTATAATATATAATGCCTGTATGTTTTTTAATAACTAAATTGCTATATTGACACATCCGCAGCTGACTAAACAAATACAACACCAGAATCCCAGCAGCCATAAGCCATGACACCGACCTTCAAGTAGATGGGGACAAAGCTTGAATCTGTGTGTGAGGGAGAAGCTCTGTAGTGAAACACTTAACCAGTCTACAGGTTTGTTCCCAGCAGAACTGACTTTTACATATAGACTAGAACAAAAGCTGAGAGAAGATATATTTCTAATGATTATGGCTACATGATTATGCATGCATCACAAACACAAGGGTATTGAAATATAAATAGCCATACAATAAGCAACAGGCAACACAATTAGCTAAATCGACACTGATCTTCCTAAATCATATTACACATGCCCAGACATGTAAACTTTTGCTATGCTGAACCTTAGTCTTCTTTGTTTTTACCTTATATTTTTTATGTAGTATTGTACAAAGTAAAAAGCCAAAAAGAGGGAGGAGGATTTAGGGCTCTAAATTATTTAAACGTGGAATCTGCTCTGGGGGCACAAATAGGTAAAGGAAAGATTTTATTTATCATATCTACGCAGTGGTAGGACAATTGACTTTGATTTATTTTTATTTTTATACAAGCATAAGGACTTTATTTTATTTTATTTAAAGTATATATCTTTTCGTCTTGAATGGTTGTTGAACACTTTGTGATTTGAGGATCTAGGGTTAGGTTTCAAAACAAAAGTCCTGGTTCCAAAATAAAAGACCTAAAATAGTTAATTAATTAACCCACTAAATTTAAATATTTAAAACCCTTTATCCACTTAAATATACAGAGATAAAGTAAACTGCTTTAAACTTAAAGGAAGATTGTGCAACATTTTACACATAAATCAAGTAAATGTCTTTCTTTCTCATGCTGTCCACAATGAGTGAGAAGCGCGAGTTCGACCAACTCTACTGTTGTCTGAGTCGTGTTTACATCATGTATAAAACTGTTGTACTCAAGGTCTATAACATAGCCTACTCACTGGTTATTTGGATGTCACATAAGTGTGTTCAGATCCCGGTCATTCCTTGTCAATTTATGTGCAATGTGATGTTACGAGTTAACCAAAGTTTGCTATAGCCTGCTAACACAACAGTGCAGGCCACAGGAAGTTGCAGTTCAAGCACAGGACAATTTTATCCGCCGCTTGTGCTTAATGGTGCTTTTATGGTGAGTTCTAATTGTTAACTCCTTTGGGCGAACGTGAGTGGAGAGGGGTTGGAGGTGTGCAGCTGGAGGAGCAGAAGGCTTCAGAATAGAGGAGGTGTCCCCAAACAGCAGTTTGTTTTGGTGTAATGCTGGGGCTCAAGGGCGACATCTACTGGATCAAAAAGTCGCACATTCTTCCTTTAAACGGAGCCTAAAACAGCAAATGGGTATAACTAAAATAATAGCACATAAACAACTAATGGGACCAGGATACCTAAAACAATCAAAGAGAGGTGTTATTGTGATTGTGTTGTTGTTGTTTTTATTGTTTGTCTGCTTTGTAAAAGGAAAAAGGAATGTATTAGCCTAACTGGTGAACAGTTAAATGTTCTAATTTGTTAGGATCATTTGAAAGGTACGAACAAATTAAAACATTTATTTTTACCTTTCAAATGATCCTAAAGCTGTGTCTTGATTCACTTTGGCTGGTCTGTGTCTGCTATTAATTAAATGGTTTAATATTGTATTTTGTTGTCAAAAGAAACTTCTACGGTGGCTGGTAAAGGCCGAAAGCTCAGTAACATATTCATAAACGCTGCACATTCAAGAGCAAATGCAAACTCCTGAAACAAATGCAACTGTGGAAACACGCTGCTAACGTGTGAGGAGGACGGTAGCGAGGTGCCGGGCTTGGCTTCAGACATATCAGGGCTGCTCTCACCAAATCCTTGCTTAGGTCTCTACAGATGGACTTTCACAGATTCGGGATGGAGACAGAGAAGTGGATTTACTTTCAAAACACATCGCTTACCGATAAACACCACCGGAGCAGCGTTTCTCTGATGCCCCACTGTATATTGTGCAAAGCAGGACTCTATAACATGTTCACACAACTTTGAGAAATGAGGTCTGGTTGACAGGGAGTTGGCTGTAAAGTTGGCTGCCAAGCTGCCGAGACTGTTGCCTGTCATGAGTACGGGATAGTTCCTCTGGTCGAAAAGGGGCTCATGTATAGCCCCTTTTCGACTGCAGGAACTTCCCCCACGGAACTAGGGACTTTTTGAGGATCTATGTGCATTTCAACCACAGGAACCAGCAGAATCTAGTTCTGGGGTAAAAGATCTACCTCTAAAAAAGACCCTGGGGGGGGGGGGGTAGTACTTTCTAAAGGTCCAGGAACCTTGTGGGAGCAGGGCCTTTATCCCCTGCAGTGCTGAAAATCTCTGTTTAAAAGAGTGAAGCTGCAAGACTGCTTTTTTTCCCCAGAGGAATAAAAGTATTAAAAACAAAAAACAAAAACAGTCAGAGGTCTATTCTGGAATCAAAACCTTTATAGTTGATGTTTTTGAAGTTTATTAACTCATTCATGACAATAAAAATGTGGTGGTTTGACTTCAACAAAGAAAAGTCTACATTTATTTTTTTAATTTCAAACACATTGATTAAAAGTCTTCTGTGGAGCTGTCTCCTATTCTATCTATGTCCTGGTTACTTTGGACACTGAACTTAAGTAATGGATGCAAATCAAAATGCTGCCATTCCTGTCAGTTGTCCGCCAAAACCAGTTTGTTGTCCCTGAGATGCGTTCACAGGTCACGCTTTGCTTCCCAATATTCATCCTTTTCATCCAGTACTGTGAATATTTTCTTGCAAGCTAGTGTACACAACACTTCCTTTGTTGCTGGGATGGAGTAGTGATGCCTCAGTAATTGCTTCACTTAAATCAGCAGGGTCCAAGCAAACCTGTAGTTTCATCTAGTCCTTTTATTTGATTTGCTGTGAAAACAAGGCTATTTACCCACGGAGTAGGTTCAGTTTCCTGTGCGATCACATTGGCTTTTAACAGGTCATCAAGAGTGTTTTTTAGTCAATCAATTACTGTTAGAGGTATTTTTCTTTTAAATCAAGTCGATTTCCACAGACTAGGAAACAATCCGATTTGTTTTCAGGATTTGGTAGCGAGGCTTTTATTCTGTTAATATAACTTATTACTGAAGGCAAAATCAGTATCAAATTGTGCACAGTTACTGTTTTCTTTGCCTCGGACAGGTTCAAGTCCATTTCAGTGCTGGAAATTGCATATTTTAACTTTCAGAGTCCATGATGAATGTCTCAAAGTTTGGGTTGAGCTCAGACACCAGCGCATCCACAAAGTCCTCAATGGTGGGCTGCCTCTGCAGCATTCCTGTCAATGAAAAACACAAAGCAACAGCTTGAAGGTTAAATGTGTCTATTGAGGAAAAATCGTTAAGCTAAATTCAATAAAGTGCATTCAAAACAGAGATTGGCAATAAAGAAAAAAGCATGCTATTCTTGATTATTCTGTTTTAATTCAAAATCCTCAGCATTGTGATTATCTCTAGTATCAATAATTGTAAGACTTTTATTTTAAGATACAGATCTTTAAAAATGTGTTTAAAGCCAATGTAATTTAAAAAAAAATTAAAATCTATTTTTGGGCTTTTGTGCCTTCATTTTAGAGACAGGACAGTGGATAGAGTTGTAAATCAGGGAGAGAGAGAGTGGGGAATGAGGGAAAGGGATATTAAATCCAACTTTTAAGTTTCAATTAACATGCAGATTGGTATGTTTTTGTTTGTTTTGACATTAAAACACAATTTAATTGTTTATTTTTATAATCATTTACTAAGCCGTACTGGAGCAGATCTGACATGCAAACACAAGTATCTGGTGGAACACTGCACAGATTCACTTCTCTATAACACAGTGGTTCTAAGCTCCCACCCTCACCTGAACAAAATAGTGAATACATAGGCAATGTTTGACTTGGTATATTGGTAAAAACCCATTAAAAAGTCATTTTTGCTGTTTATTTGTTGAAAGCATCAGGTAATGGGGTTCTGGGGGTCTTCAGCAGAAAATTTTGAATACATTTTTTTTCCTGCATTCTGATTTGTTTTTATGCACCAATTCTTGTCTTTTCTGCACAACTTTATAGTTATGATCTAGTGTTCTTGTTCTTTTTCAAATCTTAAGTGTTCACTAGACACATGTTTAGACAATAAAGAATGCATTCATTTGACTACTAAATAAACATGTGGACTGGAGAGTTGTAGTGTTTCTGCACAATACCATTTTTTTATACAAAGGTCTATGTATAGCTGATATATAATTTAGTATGACTTCATTTTGGTTTGTTTATGAACTTGTACGAATGGCAAAACATTCATCATGAACATTTTTAAACATTATCCAGAATTTAATTAATTTCTGTTATGCAGTGAAGACGTGATCTTATTTTTTCTTTTCTGGGTTCTTTATTTGTTTGTTATTGAAAGAAGGGTCGAAAATGTCAATGACAGACACACTGGCACCTGCCTGCCTGTACACTGAGTGCTGATACAGTATGCTGCATGGAAATAGAAGTGAGGGAGATCGATCACTTAGTTCATTGGTCTTAAATGCCAATCATATTGGCAGAAAAAGTACCTAGATGGTGCACCTAGCATAACATGCTGGGAATTTTTGGTGGATGTGGCTTATTAAGTCTGAGTCAACAAAATGATACTACCAATGGTATGTGAGTAACAAAGCTCTCACTCTTAACCAAAGCAAAGTTACTACCTAATCAGAAACAGAGTAGGGCGGGTTTGGGCAACACGAGGGACGTGTGGGATTTCTATATGCTAGGCGCGCCTTCTATGTAAACTCTCCGCCCGACCAACGCACTAGTAAGTGATTGATCTCCCTCACTCTGTATCCCTCCATACATGTTGCATGTCTGACTGCTAGATCTGTGATTCAAATACTTTGAAGGTAAAACAAAAAACTTTGGTTTCTTTTTTTTTGTGCAGCTGCTTGCTGCAGATGTGATTTTCACTCTCTTGGTTTTTTTTTTGTGTCTTAGCCATAGACTGTAAATATTAATGGAGGAAGCCTTGTACAGTGTGAGCCAGTGATGACAATAACTAATCAGACCTAATTGTTTTTTGTACCAGGCTGTAAACATGTTAATTTATGCTGTGAAAACAGCTTTTTTGTCGGTTGTGTGTATGTGACTTCCGGTGTTCCTTCAGCCAGCCGGAGGTTGCAGCTTGTTGTTTTGTTAACTGCTTAAAAAACAGTTTGCTAAGGTCACAAAATATCTGATTAGTTGTGTTGGTGCTTTACGATTGTAGATATGAACCTACAGATCCTTTTGGCACATCAGCATCACATTGTCATGAGTATCAGAACCCTGAAAAGATACTGCAAGAAACTGGTGCTTTTACAGAGAAAGAACCACATTGACTTGGAGGAAATTGTTTACATTATCATCATTTTCACGAAGGCGGATAGCTACTCTTCTGACACACTAACCATAGCTTATTTAATGGGATTCATTTTAATATCTTAAATTTACATCTCTATTCTTGTAAATTGACGTCTTTAATCTCGTAAATTCTACAATTCACTTAGCAGATGCCTTTATCCAAAGCGACGTACATCAGAGAGTAAGTACAACACAAGCAAGGATCTAGAAAAAAGGAAACCATGTCAGTATGTCCGATTGGACACACAGGTGCTGACAGGCATTGCACAGAGGCAAAGCACAACATTGAGGGCAGTTCTTGAGAGCTCTAATCAGTATAGAAACCATCTTATAAATCATTGTTATCAAACAAAAACAATCGTCACAACCATCATCATCATTATCAATAATATGGAGACCATCATCATTAAGTTAGTAGGTATTAATGAAGGAGCTGGGTCTTTAGCTTTTTCTTAAAAGGTGCAGATGGACTCTGCAGATCGAATGGAGTTTGGAAGTTCGTCGTAAATGTACGACTTTGATCTCAAAATTGTATATTTTCTGTTCTTTAACATGGCCCTAATACTCCATTACTTCAACTATCCAGTCCACATGTTTATTAAAGTAATCAATGCATTCTTGTCTGATCAGATGTCTGATGAACAGAACTGAAAGAGATTCATAATGGACACAAAAGAGGACTTAAAAAGGGAAATAACAAATAACAAAAACAAACATTTCTGATTGATAACAGTTAGATGATACGTAGATATAATGACAATGCACTGATCTGTTGGTGACTTTAATTTCAGAGGCTGGGTGCAGGGCTGGTTGCAGCAGTCAAAATGACAATCCCATGGAGAAGGTAGGACCTGATCCTTAGGGAGAGTCACCTGATATTTCTACTTAGTTTGCCTCTAGGCCTGTTGCTAAGCTGTTTCTCACTAGTAAAGTTGGCCGTCTTTCAACTGGAATTTTGATCCCCAGCTGCTACAGTCACATCTGGAAGTGTCCTTGGGCTATACACTGATCAACAAATTGCATAAACAGCTATGCCAGTGGCGTGTGAATTAAGAAGTACTGTTAAATGATTTGGCACTTAAAGTAGTGGCCTCTGCCATCAGTATGAGAAAGGGTGAATGTGACATGTAGTGTAAAAAAGGGCTTTGAGAAGTCAGAAGTCTAGAGAAGTGCGATTCATGGTACCCTACCTTCCACCATCAGCATTGGCTCCTTGGCTCCTCCATGGGCAAGCATCTCCCGACGGTAACGTTCACCCATGTCTCTAACAGAAAGAGAGCAAGGGAAAGAGAAAAGGGAGAGCCGTTAGATACTTGGATTCAGAAAATATTCTCCCCTGCAAGCTCAACATACTCCGCCAACCCCTCCCTCACCATAGCTGCCACTCCAAGCCTCCTAAACTGCGGTCAGGTAAAAGGGAATAGATATCCTTAAATTCTTGATTCACGCAAGTAAGTTAATGTATATAGCACTTTTCACAGACGTAAGTTACTTTACAAGGACAAAACATACAGAAAAACATATATAATGCAATATCCACAATAGATATAACAACAAAAACAGAAATAACAACAGCAACAATAAAGACAAGGCAAGACTGTAAAATGAAGCCCACATAAGAGTGTATCAAATTTAAAACACAGTTTTCAGATACAATAAACAGTAAAGTACTCGTTGCATTAAAAAGATGCTTTGATAGAATATAACTCCTATTTTGCGCAGACTTGCGTTGGAAGCATGGGAGAGGGACCAAATTTTCTGTAGGATTGAAGGCCCAAACTTATCCTTTGCAACAACTAAAACCTCTATTTTATCAGCATTAAGCTGTAGATACTTGTCAGTCATCAAGTGCTTTATTATATTTATGCAGTCAAGGAGCTTAGACAACCTTGAGGCCTTACTAGGTTTAATTCTGAAGAGAACTTGTAAGTCATATGCTTATAGTTGATGTCCTAATAAAATTGTTTATAATTTGTCCTAGGGCAAGCAGATAAAGGGAGAGAAACAAGGGACCCATGACTGAACCCTGCTGTACACCGCATCATAGTGGAGGTCTCAGTGACACACAGAGGCGCTGCTTGTCAACAGGCAAGGCAGGCGTTGTCAGCCCTTGGTCTTTTATTAGTGGTACAAGAATCTAAGAGGCGCTTCCGTATTTCTTCTTGTGCACTGGCTCTCCTGTTTCGCTTAGTTGAACAGCCAATCTGAGAGATTCCTATCCCCAACCACTCCGATTCAACATGTGGAATCGGCCAAAAAAAGGCCAACCGGGGCCAACGGGTAGCGACGGAGCTGGACACGAAGCAAAAACAAGGGGGGTGACCGCTCACCAACTCTCCTTGGTGTGTCAGGGCCTTAAGAGGGCCCCATCTGACAACAATCACTCTTGTTGCCCTGTTAAGCTAGCATGCATTATCCCTGTGAAAACCTTAGTTTGTCAAAGTCACCAAAGAAAAATTAAGAGGAATAAACCGTCTGGGAATTATCTAATCTAATTTATTTGGTTTCTTGGCAGTAAATTTTAAATTGCAAAACAAAATCAAAAAATCAAAATGTACTTAAATTAATACAAATAACTGACTCTTACCTGTTTAAAGGATCCTGAATGAAGCACTGATTCCACACCATTGAGGCGACAGCTCGGGACATAAGGTATGAGTAGTACTTGGCCCCATAGCCAATAAGGTGGCTAAATCTCAGTTGCCATGCCTTCATAAAATAAAAAATACAGCATTATCACCAAAAAGAGCATGGGCAACCTTAAATTAAAACAATCTTCTACAACAAACATTTTTTTAAGACTAAATGTATGAGTTAAGTTTCATTGAATTGTTAATTAAAAAGAGAAGCAACCACTTTCTCCAAAAGTATTCAAGACAATAGTCACATATAAAATAAATGTCAACTCAGGTAGCAGAATGTCTTGCTTTTTGCCATTTATTTGAAATGACTATCTTGGCTTAAGGGTGAGGAGAAAATGAAAGGAGAAGCTAAAGGACTCATTTGAGAATTTGTTTTTTCTGTGCTGTAATCAGCTGAGGTGAGTCAAGCGTTAAACTTATTATGCTCAACCTTAAATATTTTCCTATCTACAAATACAGTATTATGAGATACTATAAAGGTAGATTAGTGAAAGAGATGTATCTACACAGAAAGTAAGAGATTTACTGTATTTGGCGTATAAGGCAAGCCGTAGAATTTCTGCTGCATCTCCTTCAGTAGGTCCGTGGTTGAGCGGTTCTGTGGTGTGCTGTGGTAGATCTGGTCCAAGACAGCATAGAAAATCTGCCCAGACAAAAATAATATTAACACATTTTCTACTGAATTAATCCATTACACATCTAAAGAATTGTAAATTGTTATTAAATAACATCTGCTGCATTATTTAACTTTCAACAGCAGACAAACTCAGTATTGGCTTCCCGGTTAATAAAAGGTTGTGCAGTCACTTCAATCATCAGATGCTGTTAAATTTTAACAGTCTAATACCAAAAGTTAAATCCTAAAATGATAAACCTCTGCAGTTGTTATTATCCTAAAAAGGGGAAGTACACTTTAAGACACTATTGTAAGTGATGGATGTAAGGTTGGTCACAGTACCTGCAGCTGGGTGTCTGCGGCCCCACAAACCTTCTTTGACTCACACAAGCGAGCCACCATACTCTGAGGCAGAGGCTAGGAAAAGGCACACACAAATAAAATAAACATGTCAGTTTAACATTGTTATCATCTCATCCAATCAGCCAAATTCTCTTAAATTGTGTTTTTTTTTTTTACAATTTGTTTAGTAATGAATTATAACTGCTGTCATCATACAATAGACAGCAAATAGTTATATTTTACAATCATGTATTGATATTGTAATGGAATACCTATAATTTCTTATCAATGTTTTTAAGAGCAAAGACATCACAATGGATTCAATTCCTAGGGTTTATTTGTACCTGTCCAGTTTCATAATGCCGTGCAAACTGACTGATGACTCTATAGTCAGTAGCAAAGTACTCCATGAGGATGGATGGGACTTCAGCAAAGTCAGTCGCACATCTGGTTCCTAAAGGAGAAATGTAAAAGTTTGACATCCAAATAAAAAATAAATAATGTAAAAGAAGGTAAGCAGAGCTCATTCTTATTCAGTGCAGACATTATGCTCCCTCCTTATTCATGCTGGTAATTATTCTCATGAGAAAAGTGCAACAATAACATTAGGATTTCAAATTCCCCTAAAGGAAAACATCAGCCATGCTATAATTGCTAATTCACCTGTCAAAAAACAACCTCATGATACTCAAATGTTTGTCATTCTTGGGGGTGTTGGTTTAGCTCGGTCAATAGCATAGGGCTGCAGTAAACGAGATATTTCTTTATTATCTATCAGTTACTCTGGCGATTAATGGAGTAACCTGACCATGAAACCATCGCTTGCTTTATTCAACCAATATTATATAAAAGAAAAAGTAAGAACAGCTAACTTATTTCTCTTTTTTTTAAAACAACTTGTTTTCAAGCTTCTTTACATTTTTAAATAATTATTATTGTTTTTATTCATGCTTATCTCAATTGTTGCTGTATTTTTGCTTTTACTGCTGTAAAAAAACTTCATGTTACTTTTTCCAGAAGCAGGAGGGCAAAGGGCTCTGTTTATGGGACAGAGGGGCACCAAGTGCAGGACAGGGACTCAACTTTAATCAGGTAAAAGTCAGACAACTTGTCAAGGATTACTATCTTTCTTCATTGATCTCTGCAGTGAATGCGTCTGCTGAGTGAGTCATGTCTGATTTCATTGCTGTTAAACTTTTTCTATTGGGAGTGACAAATCCTAACAATCACAATCAAGACAGTGCTGAAAGTTCCAGCCTACTCTGATCGCCCGTATATTGTATTGAAAGCACAAACTGTTTCTGTTGGCACGCTAATCAACAATGAACCGCTCTCTCTATCTCTCTCTCGCTCTCTCTCTCCCTCCCTTCAGTGTAAATAAAAGGCTTACACCAATACTTTCATACTATTCATACTCAATGCAACATCAGCTTCAGTATGTAGCATGATCCAAAATCATAGTATGCAATTGTGTGTATGGGAGGTATACCCGGATGTACAGTATACTAGATCAGCCAGAATTATTCCACTTGATATTCCGTTATTTATTGGAGCAGCCAGTAGCTGTACATTAACATTATTAAAACAAAGCCAGAGAAGCTACAGTTTTGATAGAAGCAAGGCATCTCAATCAGTGCGTTTACAAGAAGGATGTATAGACAGTTGACCTTCTCTCTCCCTCTCTCTCTGAAGCTGATGTGATTCTGGTCTCTTGGTTTTGCTGCGTCTTATCTCTATGCAGGAGCCGAGAGGGATTTTGTTTTTATGTTGCGCAGAGGGCTCAGTCACAGTTTAAAATTTCATACGCTCAGTGAGGTCCTTGCGCGCACCTGCACTCTCTCTCTCTCTCTCTCTCTCTTACCCTCTGTCTCGTGGCCGCAGCAATTTTATGAAAAAAAACAACAACAAATAAATAAAAACAGGTCCGAAAAATACTTCAGCGGAAATAAATATACTTGGGCGGCTCACCCAGGTATCGTCTACTGTATGTGTGGGAATTATATTTAGGTTGCTCTAACTTGATGCTAGCTGGAAAATGGACATATTAGTCAACACCATCCACAAAGTTATTTTTAAAGATGTATTTTTTTGGGCCATTTTTGCCTTCATTAGATAGGAGAGATGAAGAGACACAGAAACACAAATGTTGGGAGGAGAGGGAGTGGCGTATTTTATAAATCAAGTTACTCAATTGATTTTAGAAATTGTTTCAGCTCTACAATTGAGGAGGTATATATATATATATATATATGAAGAAAAGTCCTCTATGTGCTGGTTGTTAGATCAACTCCTGATCATTTAGTGCCCCTAATTTCTCTCTCAACACCTGTCTCTCTTCAGCTGTCCTATGCCATCAAGGCAAAGGATCAGGGAAAACAGGATGTCATTTTAAAAATGCAATGACGTTTTAAACTTTTAATTTAATCCTCTAGCATAACATCTGATATAAAAAAGAGAGATGGAAAAAATTTAGCAATAAGTTTCTAGTATGGCACATCTAAACCGATGTTAACAGTGTTCAATAAAGAAAGAGCCTCATGTTGAGTAAATGGACATCATTGTGGTTGTAAAAATACTTTGGGGATCTCATAATACTGAAGAAGATTATCCATCATTTTTTTATTTTGAAAGTGAAAAAGAAAATGGGAATGACAGCTTTCGGATGTAAGCTCAATAAATTTGCCCCACTGTAATGAAAAACATGCATCTTCATCTTTTAAAGATACAGAGCATATTACATTTCAACATACATCACTTCACAAAACATTGGTAGATTGCTTGTAACCAGTTTGTCCCTCATAAAAAGTCTAAATAGCACCTTCTGAATGATACAATCCAGACTCTATTAAGTGGCACCTTCTGGTTGTTTATTGATGTCAATCTGAGTTAAGCTTACCTGTGACGTGCTGGTAGCGAGTGCGTCCCAGCATGGAGTGCATGGCGTGTCCCATTTCATGGAAGAGGTTCTCCATCATGCCAGGGGTGAGAAGGGTGGGGGCCCTCTTTGTTGGATGGGGAAGACTCAGCATCAGAACCACAACTGGAAGCTGGTACTGACCCATATCCTCGCACCAGCGGCCACCACGGATGGTAAAGTGACAGTCCTGGCAGAAAGAGGAGGTGGTGGTAACAGAAATGAGTGGGTAAGTTAATATTGGAAGAATAAACCTTTAGAGCACCATTATAATCAAGCCCTAACTTCTGAGCAGTCAGCTAATGTTATTAGTTCCCGACCGGTATGAGATTTTGGGGCCGATGCACATAATGATATTGGGGAGAAAGAAAAATGATTCCGATATATCGGCCAATGTCTTTCTAAGATCTATGTTCATACTGTAGAGATAGATGGATGTAGAAAAACACATTTATTGCGTTGACCCCTTAGATTCAGTTATTCAGTTCAAACATTTGTGGAAGTATAACGCAGTCACTCAACTGGCAAGTAACTGCACATGTACAAGCGTCACTGTTTGACACATTGAGAGTGATAATACTTTTTGTAATCCGTATAGCATACTCTGCTGGTAAAAGAGAACTATTGTAGCTGTGATAAACTTCGCCAATACTGGTAGCCACTTCATATGCTAATACCGGCCGATCAATCGGTCAGGCTGTAATTGTATTTACTGATGCAGGAATCAAATTTAGCACAAAGGAACACACACACTACTCCTCTATGTCTATGACTTGTTATTGTATTATAGCAGTGCCCATCATTACTCTAATTATAACAACAGTTGTCAAACACACACAAAATCGGATTGACCTGAAGTGTGAATGCAGCAGGTCATAGTATGGAAATTATCCAAATTACATTTGGTTTAGTTACTAGTGCTGTTGCCTTTGTGTATTTCTGAAGAATTAAGTGGGGTCAGGTGACTTCACGTGCGGTTACGCGAGTTAACGATATGCGCAGACAAGAATCATTAAAAGTGTTTTTCAGATAGAAAGAGATGATACAAAGAAAACAATCTTTCTGAATAAAATATGGGGATCCACAATTTTAGTGGAGCAATCACATATTCACATATTGTCTCATCTCCCTTGTAGTAATGCTCCTGTCATGTCTCTCATCTGCCTATATTGTTCTGCATCACTAAATAATAATAAATATTCAGAAAAAAAGCTAACATGAAGGTGTAAAAACTTGGAAGATGAGAGTGGGTATGTTCACCTGATGAGGTTTATCTGGCCGGTGGAAAAAGTCACAGTAGATGTAACCTAATAATCCTTCTGTGTCATGCACAACAGCCTGTGAAGGACACACAGACATAAACATACAATAAAACACACACTCATTTTTAAAAACTTTTTGCTTTAAAATATAAACTACAGCGATAACATGGTGGGAAACATACCTCTGAAAACAGACTACGACATAAAGCAATCAGAAAATCATTCATCCTTTTTTTTTTTTTTAAAGGCCAAGAACACAAACCTGGGTATTTCATTTTAATCATTTACCAGTTTGTGGACATCATCACTCCAAACCTCTCCAGCAGTGGGTTGCTCGGACATGAAGGACACACCGTACAGCTGAGAGAACAGGTTGTTCAAACCCTCCATACAGGCGCCCAAAGAGAAATAGGGACTGTACAGGCTAGGTTCTATGTTGTACCTGACATGTGCAAAACATAGACAAGAACAAAGGAATTAAAAGGGAATCCATTTGAACTGATAAGTCCTTGAGAGCAGGTTATCGAGTCTCCATCTTGATTAAAATTAAAACATCAAGTGACTCAAGATAACCACTAAGAAGTGTTTTTTATTTGGCACAATATGTTAGTAAATGCTTTGTTGAGAGCTGGTGAGCAATATGACTAAAATCCCCATATACTGACTTAATATTTCCCATTTAAATTGGTTACTAATGGATAATGCAGACATAAAGAGGTTGAGTGAGAGTGACTGATTATAAAAAAAATCTTGTTTTTGCTTTCATCTTGGTCATCGTCATCATTTTATTAGCATTGGATGCTATAAAAAAAAACTGATTAATGACTACCTACCCGGTTATTTGTGCTGAAAGCGGCCAAGTAACAGTGTCTAGCTTTTTGGTCAGATCAGGGTATATTAACAGGAATATTTTAGGTCACATAAACGTTAAGTATAAAATATTAATAAATAACTAGTGTTTTTTCATGAGGGATTAACAGATTGTGGGCCCATATGGTTGTGTACAATTTAGCATTAAACAGTAGCATCTCTGAGGGGTGGCTTTTTATAGAAATAAGATTGAATCTTTGGTTTCTTTGGGGATCTCATGCCAGCTTGCAGAGCCAGAAACCACAAATAGAAGATTAGAAATGTCCACTGTTGAAGGAGTGTCAGAGAGGGTAGATAATAATATAGTTCAAAACAGAAAGAAGTAAAAACGACAGGCTGCACAGCTCATTATGTGACTCAAGGGCCCACTAGTTTAAAAAGAATAATCTGGATCAGAATGCTCTGGTTTTGGAAATCCTTGCTATCCATCTTCAAAAAGCCTATCTTACTGTTCTGGTTTTCATTGACTGGATCCACCTCATCTGGCTACAGACTATTCAAAAATGAACACATCTGGATTAACGCTTCTTTATATGGAAATACATTTTGATATTTCACACAATGTTAAAGGTCCTCTACTTAATCTACAACGCCTCTGTTACGGTAATATCATGATTTGGAATTTGTGTGAAGAACATTTAAAAATGTCTTAAGTATGAACTACATTATTGTGTTTGAATTGTTCAGCCTACTAAAAAATATTTTATCTTTTTTTTTTTCCATTTCCTGAGAGCCTCCATGAATCCCCTCTTCAGCTAGGATCAGGATCAAAAGCATTCAAATTCTACTCAAAAGTTTCAAATAAGATCAAAGAAGTTGCAACCTAAGGTTTTTCAGGTTCTCAAAGCAACTTACAACTTTCTGGAATATGAAATCATATTATCTACACATATCTAAACCTTACCCAAACATACAAATCAATGTGATTTTCTCAAACAATCCTTGGCTGAAAAATATAGTCTTTAAGATAGTAACTGCTCACCTTTCTGCACGCAAGACACCACTCAGGAACGGATGGTCCCATGGCATGAGCTCCTATAAATTTATAAATTTCACCTTAAACTTCAAACAAATACAACTTTCTAGCATTTATTGCTTAATACTGATTGAGGAGATTACTCAAAATACTCCAGCGCCAACATCAGGGACTGGGAAATCAAACCAAAGATAAAGCTGCAGTTTTTGAAGTGGTTTCTTCAGGATGGCTCAAAAACAGAGCCATTGGACATGTTTATAGTGTGGTACATAAAGAAATGAACAACCATATTTCACATGTCCCTACTTTGAACTCTGGGTAAGTATGAAAACTGGGGATTCAGTAATTCAGTAAGGGTCCACATGCACATGTCAATTTGACAGTGGGACAGCCCTAAACCCCCGTACTTTTGGAAGGAATGCACCTCAAGTTAGCAAGTCTGTGCATGGCGAATGTGATTGGTCAAAATGGCAGTCGACAAACCAACGGGTTACATCCGATGACTACGTCCATTAATTATACAGTCTATAGTAATATTTGCAGGTGTCATGATACAGGCAACAAAAATACATTTGAATAAAAATTTGAGGACAAGGAAAAAAAAAAATCACTCACAGAATTACGAGGGTTGAGTTTCTTCTTCATGTCCCTCATCATCTGAAAGTCTTTGGCTGTTCTGTGAGATTAGAAGTAAAACATAACAACTGTATTTTATGAAAGGACTTCAAGATTTTACACCTCATTCTACTCAGGGTCAAGAGCCTATCGAGCATGCATAAGGCTGTAAGCTGGCAAACAACCTTGACAGGCCGCCATGCTCAAATATGCCTGAGGAGGATTTTGGGTCTAAGGTCTGTCATATTTGCACAACTTTGGAATTTGAATGAATCCCACACATGCAGAAAACACAGGGAGTCACAAGTCTCCTGTTTGTAAATCAGTTGTAGAAAATATGATGTGATAAGAACTAAGACATATCATATTTCCCCATGAGAGTAAATACATTTGTGTGTCACTTATTTCAAAAGATACGTAGGGTACCCCGGCCTCAAGCTGTTAAAAACACCAATTTAGTCTTTAAAGACAATTTACAACAAAAAATCAGTTACACTCTTAATTACCAAACAAAGTATTGGATTGTTTTCTTTCTTTCTTTACCTGTCTGACAGCTTCTCTGTCAACAACTTAAGAAAGCTCATCACCGTCTCTGTAAAAGGACAATTTCATTCAGGTGAAACATGTAAACTTTCTGAGTGTATGTGTTTGACAAAAGTCCCAGAGTGAGAAGCTTTGAGATACTTTTTAAAGCATGTATTAAAAGTCTAAAAGAAAGACGCACTGACTTTTAAAACTGCTTCTACTTCATGAAAAGTATAAACTTAAACAGCTAGCCATGCTGACGTGCTACCATTTACCTGGCGTTTTGGCCATCGTTCCTTTTAGAGCTCTGTGCCCATATGTCTCATAGCCCAGAAGTTTGGCCAGCTTGTGTCTACATTTCAGCAGCTCTTCCAGACACTCCATTAGATCTGCATTTGGATAGAGAAAAATCCGGTATGCAATTTCTCGTACCTATGATGGGAAGTGAGGACAGAGCAAAATACAAGATAAAACATTACATTTGAAGGGCAACATATCAACAATGTTGTAACTGGGAAAATACTATATTGGAGAATTGTTATTACTTAACCCTTACCTGTATTGAAAGATTTTTGTGCTTTGATAAACATGTATAAAATGTTTTTTTTTATATGACTTAGACTGAACTCTAACATTGCTAACATGTTCTGTCATATTATACTTATCTCTTCTTATGAGAGCACATTCATAGTAACATTGGTATTATTCGTATGACAGAAATGCTCTTGTGAATGAATAGTGACTGTCACTTTAATTGTATTATAAAAAAATAGAAAATTTGCATTTATATTGAAATAATACATTTTAAAGTATGCATTTTAAAGACTGTGTATATTTAGAACTAAAGTGCTGCCCGCTTTCAAGGTGCAGACATGAGGCTCAAACTAAAATTTCAATAACACAAATGCTCTAAGAATTTAAAAAAAATGTTTTAAAAGAGAAGTCAACTTTTAGGGCGACTGCGGCTCGGTTGGTGGAGTCTGTCGCCTCTCAACCAAACATTTTTTGGGGTTCGATCCCCAGCTTCTGCAGCCACATGTGCAATACATAGCAACCAATGCCATCAGTGTGTGAATGTGTAGGTGTGACATGCAGTGTAAAAGCTCTTTGAGTAGTCAGGAGACTAGAAAAGCTCTATACAAGCTCAATTCAATTTACATTTCTAATCAGTACTGAATATGATACAATCATTTTCAAAATCCTTAAAGTCAAGTTATATATTTTGCAAAATGTTTAGGAAGGGAGAAATGCTTCATTTACTTAATAAAGTACATACCAAGTCATCAGGGGAATCTGCATGTAATCCCCCAACTTGGACAAAGCTTCCTTCACTTGCAAAGTGCAGGTGTAAATTCTCAGGAATCGCAGACCTTGCTATTTTGTTTGGAAGGTGAGAGCCAACAAGAAACTCATTGCTGAGATCCAACAGCTTGACGTGAAGAGAAACTGCTTCTTTCCTCTGCAGAGAGAACAACACAACAATTACAATACACTGCACTGGTAAGAGGTGTATAACAACGTATGACATTCCAGATACTGGAGTCATTATACTTTCAATAAAACTTCTGTTCACATTTATGTATCTCATGACGACTATCTCACCACTTTGTCATCCAGATGAATTCCACTTATTTCAAAGTCGAACATGAACAACTCTGCAACTCGTCTAGAACGGAAAAAATAAACCAAATGAATCATATTCCAAACACTCTAAATATCTACTTAAGGGTCCCCTCCTAAATAAGATGATACTGAAATTACCTGGTATCAGCGTCCAGCTGAGACACCATGTCCGGGTTATACAGCAATGTTTTTAGGCTCTTGCATAGCTCTACATTTGTGTTCAGCCTGAAACATGCAAGTAACAAACAACAAATTATGCTTAAGTCCTTCTTAACAAAAGCATACAAAATGCATTTTCATGACAAGTGTTATCATGATGTAAGGAGATGAATGCAACATGTTTTGTTTTTGCTCAATTTACACGGGTGTGTTTTTTTTTGTACTGTGTGGTTGAAAAGACTTTTGTGAATGTGCTTCCTACTTCTCCACAACTGTGCCAATCTCCATGCAGGCCTTCTCAGCAGCCTCTCGAAAAGCTGGATCGGGGTGGGCACTTTTACAAAGTCTGCCTGTTGTAAAATGAAAGATGACAGTTTACTTACTACACTGAACACGAAGAGCAAGCAAAGCACATTACGTACAGAAGGTACCAGCAAAGTTTAAGAAACAGTAAATGGAGGAGTGAGGATGTAAATGTAGAGAAATATAATGTCAAAACACAGACATCCAACCATTTCCTATTTGCAGCCTTGTTTTTTTTTTAATCTTTTTTTTTTTTAAACCACCAGAATGAAAATTTGATACATTATTTATGAACTCCTGTTTCCTCCGAACTTAAGTCAATGTCTTCTGTGTAAGGCGGTGTTAAAGGCATATTTAGTTTCACGTATCATCAATAGAACACTTAAAAATCATTTTGTAAGATAGCATGTGATTAAGTTGTATCTACTGCATAAATATCTGCATTGCTTTTAGAATCATAACAATGATATATATATGAATAACATATATTATTAAGTGCATTTCAACCCACCAGATCAGCCACTTTACACAAACCATCTGATAGCTGGTCAAAAGCCTGGACAGTCTTCACACCAGGACTAAGGGAACAGACTCTCTCCAGCAGGCGGTCTGTGTTGATGAGAGCTGTTTGAGTCGCCACCTGAAAGCCAGCAGGACAGCTCAGCTCTGGTACTCCAAACAAACCCTGAAACACACACACACACACACACACACACACAATAAATGGATTAAATTAATAATGACTAAACACTTTATCCATTGTAATATTAGGGTGATGTATACAAACCCCGTTTTTCTCCAAGGGGTTGAACTTCTTCTGTGTTTTGGTATTGAAAGCAGCTCCAACAGGGGCCCATGTTGTCAAACCCTTCCGTCCATGATGCCATGGTCTTTTGTGCTTTACAATGTTAAGCAGTCTTTTAAACGCAGACATTTTGTCCTGAATCTGAAGTTTGTCCTTCTAATGTAACTGAGGCTAGAGCAGATCTCTGTGACTGACAGAGGACATGACAATTTAAGATTCAACAACAGCCTGTCTGCAAAAGATAAAACAAGAAACCCTTCTGTAAAGATCATTAGTAGGTCTATATATCTTGTTTTCTCTCCATGCTGCGTGCATGCCAGTGTTTTTACCACCTGTAAATATAATGGTTTGGACTCACGTGAAGAGGTGCTCTATCATCAGTCCATTCTGAGCGAGGTGGCTGTTTCGTGACAAACAAATATATATATATATATATCATTACGTATTCATGAAAGTAATCACCAAAGCAAATAAAGCATACCAAAGTATAGAGCTCTGAAACAGCATATACATTTGAAATTGTAACAATAGTTAGAAATTGTACAAATCAAATGTTTCGAAAGTGCGAGCACACGTCAAATGATGTCGTCACAAGCACGCGACGCGGGACACTTGATATTCCTTCACAATAAAAGCAGATAAATCTTATCTCAGATTGAGCGCGCTTTAAAAAATGAATTCTGTGTGAAAATAATAAAGTGATGATCAAAGATAACGGAAAGTATAAGGGTAATCGGTTTTAGATGTTGCCTTAAAGGGAATACACTTTTTATCAAGACGAACGAATTTAATGAGTCCATTTTCTTTCTCCCAGTTTTAAGTCATGAACTCAAAACCTATTAATAAAGAAGTCCCATAATGTGAACTTTATATCTTAATGTTCAATTTCCATTTCAAGGTAAATGTGAGTATTGAAGATAACACCCTGGACATGGTGCAGATAAATCCTGTTTCATTTTCATGATTGATCCACACATTTTGTTTTAATAGGAGTCAACACAACCTTTGCCCTTACAGCATTTTACCAAACTGACTATTTCTCAAAAGGTCAACATCTTTGACATCCCCTTCACAAATAAGTTTTAATTGACCTGTCAAATTTGTGGCTGCAAATAAACTTAGAAAGGTTCAGTGACCTGTGAGTCATTGTTGGGTTTAAGATGAAGCATTAGGAAACACTGTTCACATTCTGAGTGATGGATCAGCTGCACAACAACTATGGTGCTCGCAGAAGCCCAGTTAGTAGAAATCTTTTGCAAAATATAATTATTTGCTTCAGGGTGACAAAAAGCTGATGCTATCAATGGACGAGAGTAACTGAAACACAGATTACAGCTTGAAAAGATGTCTTTATTAATAGGAGGATTAACTAATAAATTGCACTCCACAACAACATTGTCTTCAAAGTTTTCTGTGAAATCTGTTACTTAAGTATACGAAAAACATTGGGCAAAATGTCATCAAATTACTGTATTCAAAAAAACTCCCCATCACCAAATGAAACCATATGACTGGCTAAATGCTCTAAGTCAACTCTGAAAAAGAATTTAATACTGAAAGCAGGTAATACCGGACAAGAATTAAAGGTCTTCCCAATATGAGAAATCACAGCATTTTGCAATAAGTACTTTTGGTCACTTGTACTTGGCAAAAGGTACCAGTTTGTGACATATGGCAAGACAATGCATTTAAATGTACAACAAAAGAATACAAATAAAAAGCTCAAATTTAAATATTTTTTTACTACCCACTGATGTCCGAAGCTTTCAGACATTGCTATTGTCAATCATATATTTACATCTATTTATTAGAATACAAAAAAAAACTACTTCTAAAAATGAAATGGCACAGGAAAAGAATTCATATTTGTTCATTTGACATCAACTCAAAACAAAGTAAAACATTAAACTGTGGGTTCACAAAGGAGTGCTCAAGGCAAAAGTCTGAACATAGGTGTATTTTGTCCCAGTGAGTGTGCTTGGACATCTTCCAACCTGAATTGTTTCTTGACCTTACCTTAGCTTTATAAAAAAAAAAAAAAAAAAAAAAAAAAAATCCTGCATGTCTGACAGTAAACTTAGTTGACCCCTGAGTTTCTAATGCAAAACTAGCGTATGAAATACCTCGTTACAGTGTATCATAGTGCAAGCCAGCAATATGCTTGATTTAACAGAGGTATATTAGATAGCACCCAAGCTGATAAGATCCCCCAGAATGGTTTATCTGCTGGAAAAACAACAATGAGCAGTATGGAAGCTGTTTTTGCTCTGTATTCTTGTGAAAACCAGCAGTCCAAATGCTTGAATTGGTTTTACATCTATAAACATGTTTTCATAGAAAATATAAATATCCCTGAATGAAACGGATTCACAGCATTTTCTCTCGAGGACTCCAGTGCAACTACCATAACGTGGCCATCAAGTGTCTTCAAGGTCTCCAGTTAATCCCTCTCTATTTACTCTACAGCATTTAGTTCTAGTCGCTCCTTTATTCACTGTCATGATAAGTTACTGTTCGCTTCCCTCTATTTCGGGTGTTCACGCGTCTCTTTCGATGAGGTTTGCTGTTGGACTCATCAGTATCTACCTCCTTTGAGGCAGAATGTCTGCGGTGCTGCCTCAGCTGGCGGCTGGCAGTTCTTTCACCAATTACAGACAGTCTGTGACTTCTCCTCTTTGGACTGCTGTTGGACCCTGAGGCAAATGAGTTTTCTGAGGCTGAAGAGGACTCCTTGCTTTCAGAGTCAGAGCTGTGATTGCTGCTGCTGAAGCTTTCCTTTTGTTTGTGTTTTTGTTTACTCGTGTTCTTCTTCATTCTTCTTGAGCTACTAACATCCTCCTCTTCCTCATCGCTGGGATCAGATTGGGAAGATGTGTCCTCCTCGTTGCTGTTACTTTCCTCTTGTTTGGATTCCTTTTTGACGCACGTTGAGGTGCCTGACCGGCTAGTTTCATTGTTCTTGGACACAGCTGCATCGTCAGAGTCTGAGGTGTAAATACGTTTTCTCTTGGAAGACAGCGGATACCTGGGTTTATTGGGGGAGGTTCTATGAAGCTCTCTTTTATTATTCCTGTCTTCCCAAGATGCTGTTGCTTTGTTGCGGCTTCTCCGTTTACCTTGGTTTAAAGAAGCAGAATCCTCCTCAGAAAGAGAGTTCTCACTGATGTATTTCTTTTTTGGCAGGGCTCGGAGACTACATCTTCTATTTGATGTGTTGTCTGATTTATCCGACTGTTCGTCTGATGAGCCAGAAGAGCATTTCTTCCTTACCTTCCTCTTGGGCTTGTATTCCTGCTCAGAGCTATCGGACACTGAGTTGTCATGATGGGGACGTTTTGACTCACTTTTTCTTCTTGTAGGCCTCTTAAACTTAGCTTCAGCCTCAGATTCCTCACAAGAGTCATTACTCAGTACTTCACATCCTTCATTTTGTGTCAGTCGTTTCTTGTGTGGGGTACGTCTCTGTTGACGATCACTAAGCTCCTCTGAGTCTGCACAATGCATTTTATTAGTTGAGGCAGATTTTTGCTCATCTTGGCGTTTTGACAATAAATTTCTTCTCTTTTTCTTAGAGTCTTTGATGATGGCATCCTCCACATTTCTTCCATTTTGGGATGGATGTTTTTGAGACCTGTGGTCTTTGTCCTCTTTGCCTGAGCTTACGGGTTTTTGACGTGCGGTCTTGATTTCAGTGTCCTTTGACTCCTCTTCCTCCTCACTTGTCATCCTCTTCTTCCTGTTTTCAAAGGATTTCTGAGACACTGCCTCTTGTTCCCCCTCCTCTTCAGCCTCTCCAGAGCTATTGTCAGTGGCTTCCTGTTGTACTGAGTTGTTGTCAGACTTGCGGTGCTTTGCCATGTGCCCGTTCACATGAGACAATGTATCTGCGGAATAGACAGAAGAAAAAAAAATCCAAATTATTAAGACGTCTCATGACAATTCAAGTAGCAACTAGAAATCAAGATGAAAGTGTTTCTCACGTTTTCCCTTCGTCTTGACATGATCTTTTAATGCTCTGTGTTTGGTGGACATTGTGTCTCCGTTGTGATTGCCATCTTCCTCATCCTTGGATTTGCCTCGTGATGGCTTTGTTTTTTGCGAAGCTAAAGAGTGAAAGGAGTGCTACAATGAACGACTGTATATTCCACAATATTTCTAAAATGTGATGAAATAACATTTTGGATTTTGTAAAAGAAGTTTAAAGAAAAGCATCTGCCCACCCCTTGATGGTGTCTCTTCATCAGAATCAGAAGTGCTCTGAATCACCGCCGTGCGTTTGCTAGCCCGGGCTGTGTGTGCACACGGCTGCTCCTTTTTGGCTTCTCCTCTTCCTCGTAGTCTTCATCAGACGCCTCAAGGAGTTTGATTTTGTTCACGGCTGCCCTTGCTGTTTTTCTCGTTAGTGACTTCCTAACATTTTGATCTTCCTTAAAGTCCCGGCAGTGACGTCTCTTCCTGCCAGGCGACCTGCTGCTGTAACCATTCACCTTGGCTCTGCCTTCTAGAAACAAGAGGGGGGATAAGACATTTAGCTTCTGGTCTTTATTAACTGGTTTAGTTGATGACAATTGTCAGTAGGGTTACCTTTATGTTTCCTGTCTGTGTCAGTGCCGTTTCTGGTCTGCCGTGTGTTTCTGCTGTTTTTACTGTGGTAACGAGGACCTGAAGACTGGGAGGACATCTCTCCATCTTCACTTTCACTGTCAAACTCTTCCTCTTCCTCTGCCTCCTCTTCTTCACTATCACTCTCTGCAACTGACAGCAATTACACATGTCTAGTTAGAAACCCTTTTTGGAGAATATAATGTCAGTGTTTTTTTTTTTTTAGAGGTGGCAGTAGCTCAGTCTATAAGGACTTGCCAAGGTGCCCTTGAGCAACTAAGGCTTAATCCTTACCGCACCAACTAAGGAGCACATCCATTATTGCATGTCCATAGTACCGGTTTGTGCATGCGTTTATTCCGGGCCTGTGTGTGTGAGTAGCATGTCTCGATAACACAGTGTAAAGTTGATAAATAAAGTATATCAAATTATCATTCCACTCAAAATGGCTGATCTATTTGTTTATATATTTTTAATATGTTATTTCATAACAATTACTTATGACCAATTAATCACGATTTTAATAC